ATGCTATACAATAATTGCCAACAGAACAAATGTATATTTCTGACGTGTCCCCGTATAAAATAACGATATTTTTGTTACATTGGCAATATTGCTATTAAACCTTTTGTCTGTCACCCGTAGATACACATCTTTATTCCAACTATTGGTAACACTGAATAACATTTATTTACAAAATCACTTTATTTTTTGTAACGCATATTCATTTTTGTTTAAAACAATTACCTATTTGTTGATCAAATCGCCGTTAAAATCACGTAAAGACGTACTTCGTTTTTATGCTAAGCAAAAATGTGTTAACTACAATATTAAGTTGTAAACAAGATACGCCTTTACGTATTTTCAAGGGCGAATTGTAATTAAAGTCAAGTAACTAATTTTGAGTTTATACTATACAATAATTGGCAACAGAACAAATGTATTTTTCTGACATGTCCCCGTATAAAATAACGTTATTACATTGGCAGTATTGCTATTAAACCTTTTGTCCGCCACTCGTAGATACACATCTTTATTTCAACTATTGGTAACACTGAATAACATTATTTGGATGACCCTCGTATAATTTTGAGATACAGACATCGTAGATGTATTCGCGCCTTTGATTTCAATTCAAATATTTGTAATTATTATATTAAACAAAAATATATACAGGGTCTTTCACTTTAAAGTATAAAGGTTAGACAATTCAGTTGATTTTTTTTCCATTCATTGTGGTTATATTAGTTAAATTATCCACTGGCAATTTTATTTTTTAAGTTAACTATTGTTCTATTTTTATCAAATATTTTATTTATATAGTTTTAAAAAATCATACAGAAATTAAATTAAATGGTCCAAGGTCAGGTCTTACATAAGTGTATAAAAGTCGGGCAATTTCAGGCATGCGAACAGGACAAATCACAAAACAGTTTTTATAAAAAAAAAATTTAGGTAATTTACTATAAAATATTTTGGCATCAAAATTGTCCAAAATATTCTTCTTTTATTAGGCTATAAATTAAATAAAAAAAACGCAATAAATATTTTATAAAAGTAGAGATAATTTTAATAATTGACAGGTGTGGATGGAACAAAATAAATCTTTTTTGTCCTGTCCACACCTTTCAATTATTAAAATTAACTCTACTTTTATAAAATATGTCTTGCGTTTTTTTAATTTAATGTATAGCCTAATAAAAGAATATTTTTGCCAATTTTTATGCCAAAATATTATATAATAAATTATCTACAATTTTTTTTTATAAAAACAGTTTTGTAATTCGTGCGTTTCGCGCGCTTGAAATGTCCCAGTTGTAGAGTAAACAAATTATACTGAGATTACTATTTCCATACTTCTACCATATGGTAATATTACTGGTAAGACCTTTGTATGCTTTTTTTAAAACCACTTACACATTAGGGTGATTCATTTCCGCAAAGTTTTTGTTTTCTTCGGTGCTCAAGCAGAATATTAATCTGCATATAGAAAAAAAAATTCTCAACAAGTTTGAGCTCTTAATATAAATTTTAAGTACTTACTATTTAAATTTAAAGTTTTACCGTTTGAAATGCATGTAAAAATATATTTTTTTTTTCAAATTTCTATGCTTACCCACCTTTGACAATATTGCAAATCGGTTTAATACACCTTATGGGGAATTTCACGCTCTTTAAAATTGCTTTTGAGTTTTTTTTGTAACTCGCATTGGTTCACCAGTAGGAGTCGTCGTCGAGGACAGTTTTTGAAAAAAAATCGGTTTTTTTTTAACTTTTTCTAACAAACCGCAAAAAGTAGGGAGAAAAAAGGGCTGAATCATAAAAAAAAGTTATCCAACCAATATTTAATGAATTTACAGCCATTTTTATAACTGAAAACGTAAGAAATTGATAATTACCAACTCATAATGTTATTTAGATTGATTTTTTCTATTTATTATCATTATATTTCCCTACACTAAGAAGTTTTTTAAAATTATTGATTTCTCACTTATAATGAATATGAAAACAACAGATAAATTCATAAAAAACAATAAGAAAATTGTAACGTGGATTTTGCAATTTTTCAACATTTCTGTCATATAGCAAAAAAATATAAATGAAGATTATTTAATTTTTTGAAGCGAAATTTGAAATATGTTACATAACCTTCTGTATATTCCGATTAAAGTTTTGTTGTTTTTTTTATGAATTTATGTGTTGTTTTCATATTCATTATGAGTGAGAAATCATAATAATTTTAAAAAAGTTCTTAGTGTAGGGAAATATAATGATAATAAATAGAAAAAATCAATCTAAATAACATTATGGGTTGGTATTTATCAATTTCTTACGTTTTCAGTTATAAAAATGGCAGTAAATTCATTAAATATTGGTTGGATAACTTTTTTTTATGAATCAGCTCTTTTTTCTCACTACTTTTGGCGATTTGCTCGAAAAAATAAAAAAAAAACCGATTTTTTTCAAAAACTGTCCTTTGACGACTCCTACTGGTGAACCAATGCGAGTTACAAAAAAAAACTCAAAAGCAATTTTAAAGAGCGTGAAATTCCCCATAAGGTGTATTAAACCGATTTGCAATATTGTCAAAGGTGGGTAAGATTTGAAATTTGAAAAAAAATATATTTTTTACATGCATTTCAAACGGTAAAACTTTAAATTTAAATAGTAAGTGCTTAAAATTAATATTAAGAGCTCAAACTTGGTGAGAATGTTTTTTCCTATATGCAGATTAATATTTTGCTTGAGCACCGAAAAAAACCAAAAACTTTGCGGAAATGAATCACCCTAATACACATATGTGTTTGTCATACGTTAATTAATATTTATTTATCCCAAAGACAAGTAACAAAATTTGAGCATTTCAAACTAATCCTAAAATCCGGAGAATTTAAAAATACACCGCGGTTTCTAACGTGGGAAACGTCTCTTTTGATGATTGATGATTCATTAATCCTAAAAGATTTACTTTTAAATTTATTATTATTCAGTTCTGTCAAATCAAGTTGTCATAGTTATTTTTCTTGCCTAAAGCTTAATTTGTGCTGCCAAAAATTTAATCAAATTTCTTTTTTTTTATATAATAATAATAATTTTAATATTAATTCTCGTTTGGGGTAGGGGGTAATGTAAATGTTATAAAACAAATTTGTTGTTAATATGGAAAATATGTTTGCCATATTGAATAATAACACAAACTATTCTGCTTTTTCACATACCAAAGTATATACAATAATTGCGCTGCTTTTTTGAAGAATTTTTTTAGGAAAACCAGTAAAAAATGGATTTTTCGAAAAAATTGTTTCAAGAAGTACCATTTAATGTGTAGTTTGGTGTGAAAAGTAGAATAGTTATTTTTTTTAAGCAATAAAAGTCATTTCAATGTTGCCAAATCTAGATAATTAAATTACTTTTTATAAGAGTGGTAACACTGCGCAAGAATATTTTGACCGTCCCCCGTATAGATCTATTTATAATTTGTCGATTTACTTTATTTATGTACTTAAAATTTTATTAATGTAAAGTAAACTTGCAACTGTGTACTCTTGGCGTAAATAAATAAACGAAATTCACTCAGCGATAAAAAAATTCCGTATCAGTGTTGCCCTTGTCCAATATAAAATTTCAATAAAATGAAAATATTGATCGACCCCTGTATAAAATCATTATCATATATTAATTATGACCTTTACAACAAGGATTTGCCTTCGTTTTTGCCCAACAGTCATTTTAGAATATCAAATCATAATTTTATTGCATTCACATGTTCTTTTATTTATAATAAAGACAAATAAATTAAGCTCAGTGTTACCACTACCATGAATTAAAAATTGCTGCGTTGCCATTACTTAAGAACCTTAAGTTGATATGAGGATTTATTGCTTTTGAATAATTAAAGTATTGTTTTATAACTTAGCATTCAGGTAGTTTTTCTATATTTCTATAAAAAAAAAATTTAATTTTTAATCAATATTAAATTATTTTTTTCTTTAGGCCCTGCATTTTCATTTTTGACGCGCAAATCAAGTTGTCATAGTTATTTTTCTTGCCAAAAGCTTAATTTGTGCTGCCAAAAATTTAATCAAATTTCTTTTTTTATATAATAATAATAATAATTTTAATATTAATTCTCGTTTGGGGAAGGGGGGTAATGTAAATGTTATAAAACAAATTTGTTGTTAATATGGAAAATATGTTTGCCATATTGAATAATAACACAAACTATTCTGCTTTTTCACATACCAAAGTATATACAATAATTGCGCTGCTTTTTTGAAGAATTTTTATAGGAAAACCAGTAAAAAATAGATTTTTCGAAAAAATTGTTTCAAAAAGTACCATTTAATGTGTAGTTTGGTGTGAAAAGCAGAATAGTTTTTTTTTTTAAGCAATAAAAGTGATTTCAATGTTGCCAAATCTAGATAATTAAATTACTTTTTATAAGAGTGGTAACACTGCGCAAGAATATTTTGACCGTCCCCCGTATAGATCTATTTATAATTTGTCGATTTACTTTATTTATGTACTTAAAAATTTATTAATGTAAAGTAAACTTGCAACTGTGTACTCTTGTCGTAAATAAATAAACGAAATTCACCCAGCGATAAAAAAAATCCCGTATCAGTGTTGCCCTTGTCCAATATAAAATTTCAATAAAATGAAAATATTGATCGACCCCTGTATAAAATCATTATCATATATTAATTATGACCTTTACAACAAGGATTTGCCTTCGTTTTTGCCCAACAGTCATTTTAGTATATTAAATCGTAATTTTATTGCATTCACATGTACTTTTATATATAATAAAGCCAAATAAATTAAGCTCAGTGTTACCACTACCATGAATTAAAAATTGCTGCGTTGCCATTACTTAAGAACCTTAAGTTGATATGAGGATTTATTGCTTTTGAATAATTAAAGTATTGTTTTATAACTTAGCATTCATGTAGTTTTTTTCTATATTTCTATAAAAAAAATATTTTGAAAATATTTAATCAATATTAAATTATTTTTTTCTTTAGGCCCTGCATTTTCATTTTTGACTCGCTGGCTGGAAATTGTCGCAGTAGGGTAGTGGCCACTCTCAGAGATTATTTAACTTGCGAATACAAAGCAAAAATGGATAAGGATCGTATATTCAACAAGGATGTTATCAAAGGATCCTGCATAAAAGTTCCACAGCAAAATAATTTTACAGATTGTGGTCTGTATGTTCTTCAATATGTTGAACAATTTTTCAAGGTAAATAAATATAATTTAAATTCTAAAATTGTAAATTTTAATAATTAATGTTTTTTTTAGGATCCTATTGTAGACTACAATTTACCAATGAAACAATTAAAGAATTGGTTTGATGAAATTGTGGTGACAAGAAAACGAGAAGAAATATCTGAATTAATAAAAAATCTTATGATGGAATATGACATTGATTTAGGTCTTTTACCAAACATTAAGTTCCCAACTTTAAACGGCAAGCTTGTTGAGAGATGCACAGAAGAAAATGAGAATGAAGACATGTTTGAAGATTCCTCATTTGAAGACGATGAAGAGCATGAACCTGGGGAAATTGTTGGCCCAGTAAACATTGTGTCGACATTGCCTATCCAAGATTCAAGCGCTACAATGTCATCGGACAGCCCCCAATCTGTTATCAAACCCAGTGATAACTCGATGAATGAAACCTTTAATCAGTGCATAATAAGTGCCCTAAAACCAGACCTAAGTGAATTTCCTCGTCAAACCACAGACAAAGACACTTTAAGCTACTTAAAGGCTAAACGTATAATTAGGCATAAACTTGGTGTTTCTGAAGGTCCAGATGCTAAAAAAGCAAAAAGTGAATAAAAACTGTAACCCTTACATTTTATTTATTGACTGTTTCTTATAACTTTGTTAAGCTATTGGGAGTTTTGAATGTATGCAGAATTGTTTTCATTTTAAACTGATTTCATTGAATTTATTCATTATTATTTTTAATAAAACAATAAATCGTTATCTTAATATTTTAATGTTTCCAATATATTACCCTTCTCCTTATAATTCCCCAAAACTAAAAACAATCGCAGAAACTGACAGGCACAAGCATCTTGAAAAAAAAGATACTTAAAAGTAACTTAGATACTTAAAGTATCTAAGATACTTTATCGTAGATACTTTTTATATTTGACAGAAAGTATCTTTAACTTAGATACTTTGGAAAAGTATCTTGTAACTTGTATCTAAAAAATATCCAAGTTACTCAAGTAACTTATTAGTTACTTTAAAGTATCTATATATACTTTAAAGTATCTAAGATACTTTTTAAAGTAACTTAAATACTTTTCAGTGTAACTTAGATACTTTCTTAGAGAAAATTGGGGAATTCCAGAATGATTCAAAGTAATAACCTAACCTACAACTTGTTGAATTTTTATAATTTTATAGTTTTTATTCATACTTAAAAGTAACTTAGTTACTAAAAAGTATCTTGGTTACTTAAAAGTATCTTAGTTACTCAAAAGTATCTTGGATACTTTTTACAGTATCTTAGAAAAGTAACTACAGTTCTTCTTCTTCTTTGTTTGGTTTGGCCTTTCCCATCCAGGATTTAGCCAGCTGAATTTTATTATTATTATACTGGAGCAAGCGAGTCTAGGATAACCTATAGCTTCTCCTTTTCTTCTTGGTTTTATAGTTTATTAATTATTATTATTTTTGTCACTTTTAGATTCTTTTTTCACTTATTCTCTTTTTATTCACTTATGTCCATCACTATCATTTTTGTCTTTTTTAGAGTTTATTCAATATAGCTTATATCAGCAGCGGAAGTCACTTTTATTATACTTTTACACATACACATACAAAATCACGATATTAGCGGAAGTTACGAGGCAAAAAAAAACCGACTATGCACCACATATGTGGTGTTTGCAGAAGTATATTCAATCCTTCAATATTACGACCATCCTGTGTGAAAATCCCTTACATCTTTACCAATCTATTGTAGATTTTGTGGATTCAGCAATTATCAGCTTATTTATTTGATGAGTTTCATATTATCCACTCAAGGATAGCCGATCCATCTACTTCAGCAGATAACACAAAACTGGTAACTACAGTTAATTTTTTTTTATCTGTACTCGTGTTTTTTTGTTAGGTTGGTGGCTTATGCAGTTTGACTTTGTATTTTTAGGAATTAAAAATGGTATTTCTGCTAAAGAATTTAATTAAATACTTTGACACTGTCAAATTGACAATAATATTTATTATTGATAATTTACTTGTCAATTATAAATAAAAAGATAATTACATTATTTTCACATCATTCACCATTCGACAACATTTACGTTAAAAAAAATTTTAATTTCTTATAAAAATTCTTTTCAAAGCGAAGATTATTATCCGCTAGGAATACTTTCTCTTCTGGGCCGTAAAGCAAACTATATTTAACTACTTTTTTTATATGATTTTACTCATCCAAGCACCACCAAAGCCAAATTAATTGCATTTTTAACTACGAATTTCGACAACTCAACTTGACAACTGCACAATGTAACCTACAATAATTTATACATAACCACAATTAGATTTATAACTAGCTCAGTTTTTTTTAATCAATGCGACCAACTTGATAACTGTATTTACCAACCAAAACCCTAAATTTGCAACGTTGCCGCAGTCCAGATAAAAAAAAATTAACTTTTCAGAAGTAACTTTCCCAGCTTTGGGCACAAGTTTTACATCTGGCAACATTGATTTGATTATTTTTAAAATTTTGATTCAATGTTGCCAACAGGCCAATAGAAATATCCTTCTTTATCTCTGGAAATATCTTCCGGTAGTTCAAATATACAAAAACATTAATTATTTTGTAAATTTTCTATTATAATAAAAAGAAATTGGGCTTGGTCTTTATTCGATAGTTTTTTTTTCAATAATAACCGTTATAAAGAAAATGCTACTCAAGTCGGTTCCCAGTATCCATAGGAAATTGGAAAGTGTGCACTGAGATTTGGATTCTTTAATAAAAATTGTGTTGGTTAATTTTTTTAAGGTGAAAAATAAACGGGCTATACAACTTATTATAGGCTATAACTACTTTAGTTTAGAGAATTGCAAATAGACGTTTCCACAAAAAAATGTTACTAAAGTACAGTGACTTTAAGTTTATTAATTTGGTATCAAGTAAGACTGTCAAGCGAAAATCTTAATTTTGTCCTGTCCTCATGTTTACCACTCTTTATTGATAATTAAAGCCCTGATTAAAGCGAAAAGTTAAACTATAAGGTCTGGTTTTTATATAGAATACAGCATGTTTTTATTTTGCAAGTGTTTTTCTTAACTTTTATCTAAGTGAGACATTATTTTCCGAATCCATTCTGTGATAGAAGTCTCGAAATAATAAGGTATTTTTGTGTGTTTGTAGAATGGCTGATTCGGCGAGTGAATCTGACTCTAGCAGCATTGATGGGGGTCCAATTATGATGCCGCCCAGTCCAGTAACGCGAGAACAGTTACAGAAACGAATTGAAAGTCTTCAGCAACAAAACAGGGTGCTCAAAGTGGAACTTGAGACTTACAAGTTGCGAGTCAAAGCTCTGCAAGAAGAAAACAGGGATCTCCGCAAAGCTTCTGTCATAATTGTAAGTGTATTATTCTTTTTTACTACCTTGGTATTTAAGTGCAACTTAACTTTCAGCAAGCAAAAGCTGAACAAGAAGAAGAGTTTATTTCAAACACATTACTCAAAAAGATTCAGGCCCTCAAAAAGGAGAAGGAATCTTTGGCTCATCATTATGAGAGAGAAGAAGAATGTCTAACCAACGATCTGTCCAGAAAATTGACTCAATTAAGACAAGAAAAATGCCGATTGGAGCAAACATTGGAACAGGAACAGGAGTGCCTTGTCAATAGACTGATGAGAAAAATTGAGAAGCTAGAGGCTGAAACTTTGGCCAAACAAAGCAACCTTGAGCAGCTACGTAGAGAAAAAGTCGAGTTGGAGAACACTTTGGAGCAAGAACAAGAAGCTTTGGTGAACAAGTTGTGGAAGCGCATGGATAAATTGGAGGCCGAGAAGCGAATGCTGCAAATCAAATTGGACCAGCCAGTTTCCGATCCAGCCAGTCCAAGAGATATTAGCAATGGGGACACTGCCAGTAATCTTAGTTCTCACATTCAGACTCTTAGATCTGAAGTCACCAGATTGAGGCAGACTTTGGCTATAAGTCAACAGGAACATACCCAGAAGATGCAAAGGTATGTCAATTATAAGTAAATTCTTAATGATAAATCATTAATATAATAATTTTTTATTTTTATTATTAAATTACAGGTCTCCCACACCTCCTAAAATTCATAAAATTACTAAAATTTGGCTTAAATCTTAAAAACTCCTAAAATTCTCCTAAAATTGCCATCAATCTCCTAAAAATTAAATATAAGTAGGCCAACTTGACTGAGTTTAATTAAGGTAGTTTTGCTAAAAAATTTCTTTTTTAAAAAGTAATTTAAAAAATATATATTTTTGGGTTCTAGTTTATCAAATTCTTTTTAAAATGATATAAGTATCACAACCTACATTTTTTTTAAAAAACAACAAAATATACCATAAAACAAAATCCATGTAGTAGCTTCTAGACTTTTACAAAATTGTCATTTTTAGCCATATTTCGTTAATTTTCGACAAAAATATACCGTGTTATATATGAAACAAAAGGATTTTTAATTTTATTTTAAATTATAGCTAAAATAGTAAACAATCTAAAGAATGTTGTAACAATAACAACTGTTACATTTTTTTTTCAAAATATAAATATATCATCATTAAACTTTGGCCTACCTTTTTAGCCATATCTATCGACGCTTTTTTCTTAAATAAAATTAAAAGGGTGGTGAAATTTCTACTTGTAGATATATACAAAAGTAGTAATTTTACCTCACTTTTCATTTTATTAAAAAATAAACTCGTCGAGCGATTTTTCTAAAAAACTAGTCAATATAACCTATTTGTTCAAAAGAAGTGATATTTATTTATATTTTTGTTAAAAAGAATTACTTATTTTTTTCTTATTTTTTAAGTATAGTATAGAGTTGTTTTTATTTAATTGAATAAAATCATTTGCATACTTTTTTCTCCTAAAATTCTCCAAAAAACCTCCTAAATTCCTAAATAAAATTTGTAATTTAACCGTGGGAGCCCTGAAATTATGGGACATCTAAAACAGTCTTATTTAGACTGATGCCAGAGCCCTTTTACAGTACTTTTTTTATATATAATAATAATAATAATAACTTTATTTCAATATTGCATAAAAAAGATGTAAACACGTATAAAATAGGTACAATTAATTTTAAATAAATAAATAAATTTATCACATTTCAGCATAACAAGAACTTAATTAATCAGTAAATATATCACATTTAATTAATAAATACATCATAAATAGGAAATAAATTTAAAATATCACATTTAGTTAATATCACAAGGGTAAATAAATAATTGACTTAAAAATATCACTTTTAGTTTGTTACTTTTAAGTTCTGGTAGAAGTTTTTTACAAAACATCTTACAGTTCTTGAAATCTTGACATAGTTTGGTAGTGTGTTGTAGACAAGTTAACTTTCATTTCAGGTGTCATTCCTTTGTTAGTCCTGTTTGTATTAACATACAAGTTCTTGTTTTATACATGTGCACTTCATTGCTGTTTAAGTTGGATGTTGTTGCATTTAATTTTTTTTATCTCCACGCGGTCTATAATTTAAACTTTATTGTTGTCAACATTTGATAAAGAAATACCTTGTTATGAGCTAGGCCGATAAAAAATTTTATGAGGCAAGTAATTAGTTCGATTTTTTCTCGCTAGGGGTATTGTTTTGACAAATTAATCCTTTTCTAAGAAATTAACGTACTAAACTATAATAATAATAATAATTTATTGAACCAGGTGTATGGGATACATTTTATGAATTGGACATTACATAAAATCTGCAAGAGGTTTATTAAACCTGTGCGCAGACCTAGTTTAAATTACAAACTAAATAATACTTATAAACTAAAAACTAAGAAAACTTGTACTTTTAAGATTGATTGATTTACTAAACTTTTTGATGTTATAATATAGAGTATAATTATTATGAGGGTGTGTTATTGTTTTAATTACTTAGATTTAGGAGTTTGTGCGTATTATCACTCATCCATTTTTTTATATTTTTTTTTTATGATTTTTATTTTTTTCAATTTTTTTTAAATGTGTATCCAGTGCATTAAACAGTTTTATTGCCACTGTTTAGTTTTATCGTTTTTCGTATTGTTGGAAAAATTATTTTATTTCTTGTAGTACTTTTTAATTCTTTGAAACTTGTTGAGAGTTTTATATAGTTTAGTACTGGTTTAATTTATTTATAAATAAGCACTAATTTGTTTGGTTTATTCCTGTTAATGTTTAATATTTTTCATTAAATTATTGTAAAATTAAATATGAATAATAAAACAAAAAGTGAGGTTAGGCAACCAAGAAAACGCCCGATTCTTTTTCTACGATTTAAATTATTTTTAAGTTTTAATTTGCTTTAAGTTTTCAGTGAAATTAAATGTTAAACACAGCTTAAACATTCCAAACCACCTATTTTTTAAACAAAAATCCAAACAAATTGAAATTAGATACCTACCTATATATTAAATTGAATTCAATGTAATGGCAAAAATCCATTTCTACTTAAATCATGTTGTTAGGTATTGTCAAACTATTACTGCTTCTAAAAGCAATAATAATTATTGTACATTTAATGTAATCTTTAGCTAATAAATAAATGAGATTCTAAAAAAGTGAGGTTATGCCGCTTTGATGTTGACTTAAATTGACCTATGATTTGAAGATAAAATGTTATATGCCATTCGGCCAAGAAGTGCCGTTTTGTGCTTTGCTTGAGCTTAGCACAAAAAGCCTTACTTCTTAACCTAATGACATAAATAACTATTTATTTCATTTTATTATCACTACCTTAATTGTTCTAATTTAAACTTAATACGCTAAAGAAGTATCGCTAGTAGCGCCACCACTCGCCTGTTAAACGGGTGTGTTACAAACCAGTGTTTTTGAGAATAAAGCCGGAAAATGTTAAAAAATATCGAAAAAAACCGTGGCACAATTTGTTGTCTTGTTGGGTGTATTTCGAAAGGAAATCCTGGGTTGAGTTTTTATCAGTTTTCCAATAAACAGTGTAAATCCGATTGAAGAAGTAAATTTCATACAGTCCCTGTATGATTAACGTGAAAAGTGTAAACATTTCAATTCAGTAAAAATCGTTAAACAAATAAGTCGTCTAAATTTAAACAGCATTTAGCATTATTAAAAGCCTTGATTAAGAAAGTCTCCACTCAACGGTAAAATACCATTATATATAATATTATGTTGCCATGAATTCGTAGGTATATTTTGTTGTTTAAAATGCAGTTGTCGGCGTTTTTTAGAGAATTCAAATATAAAAAAGGTTGATTTTAAGGTTATGTTTGTGCAAAAATAATTGTTTACTAATTTCTTAAAAATATCCAAACTTAAATATAAATTATATTAGGTAAAGTCATCATTAGGTAATTCTGCACCAACAAATTGGATCCTTTGGCAAAACATGAAAATGCAACGATTTAGTTCTTTTTAATTTTATTTACAATTAAAAACACAATAATTCACCATGATCCCTTAGATAAAATACACACACTAACGTAACTATATAAGCATTTAAGCATTAAATCAATGATAAAAAGAATAATCAATCGAAATCGAGTACTAAAAAAGTTTTTTAATTTTTTCCTTACAACGTAAAACACAAATAACGTGCGCGATTTAGCTGTGCAATTGAACAAAATTTGTCGAGTAAGACTTCTGCTCTCTTCTCTTTTGTGAAAAAACTACCTATTTATTTAAAAATGATGTATAATCTGTGCTTTAAATGTATTGTTGACATTGTCCACCAGATGGCGCGCGCGTTGCAAAACCCGATACCTTTTTAGCGTATTGTCAACCCTCACTTCTAAAGTAATTGATTATTTCCTAAGCCGTAAAAATAATTTAGACCAATCAGGTAAAGTTTTTTACCTCCCAGTATGTAACAAAACAGTTTAAACCAATAAAAAATTTGACTACTGTCAGAAATACCTAACCTGATATTTTTAACACGTTAAAGGGTAGTAATGTAGTTTAACATTAGTTTAACAAAATTGACTCAGAAATATTTTTTTAAGAAAATTAAATACTCTACAAAAAAAGTTAAAATGAAATTTTCCGTCAGATGAACTGTTTCCTTAAAATCATGCCTTAAAAATTGGTATAGTTTTACATTTTGATCTTTTAACTTTGGAATTTTGTAATTCATGTAAAAATCAGTACTCAGAAAAAAACCGATGAATATTTTTATGGGAAATCAAATGCTTTACAAAAAAGACTTTTTTGTAGAGCATTTGATTTCCCATAAGAATATCTATCGGTTTTTTTCCGGATACTGATTTTTACATGAATTACATTGTAACAAAGTTAAAAGATCAAATTGTAATAATATACCAATTTTTAAGGCATGATTGTAAGAAAACGCTTCATCTGATGTGAAATTCCAAACAAACCTTTTTTGTAGAACATTCAATTTTCTTCAAAAAATATTCCTAAGTCAATTTTGTTAAACTCAATGATTTGGGAGTTCTGAGACAAAAACTCGCTCAGGAAAAAAAAATCTAAAATTGCGATGATAGACATCTTAATATTAATATTATGGACTCAAACTTTCACCATAATTGTTTTGTCACCCCAAACAATATTTTCGATATACTTTACAAAAAAAAGTTGTCGATTTTTTTGGCCCACTCTAATGCTGTATGATGTCTAACATTGTATTTTTTTTAAGGAGCTGTGGTTACTGTCACATTTGGCAAAAATTGTATCAGTATACCCTTGTTTTTAAACGATTTTGTTAATTTGAAGTAAATTTAATCTGATGAAAAGTGCCTTTTTGGCCAAACAGGTATTTTATATTGGTTTTCAATGTGTATTTATCGTTTAACAAATAAAATTGTGCCTTGAAGCCATTTCGCTGAAAATTGTCTTTTTGTGCTTTGCTCAATTGTAGCCTTCAAGGCTCAGCTCAGCACAAAAAGGTTTACTTCTTAGCCTATAATGACCAATAATTATTGGACATCACATAACTCTTCACAAAACTCCTTATACTGTCTAAAAGTTATATTACTTTATAGAACTTTTTGAAATATTTTCAGTGGCTTTTCTCCTCTCAGAGATGTTGTTAAAATTAATGATCAAAATTATGAATCAAATTTTTACCTACACCAAAAATCTAATAATATTTCGAAGAGAAGAAAGTATACTGAAGAAAAAAGAAGGATTTTTTAAGGGGAACAGTAAATTCTTACCCAAAAGTGCAGTTTTTTCAATATTAAATTGTAGTTAGCCCGCGCCGTCCTACGGTGGTCTAGAAACTTACTTTTTAGGCCCCCTGATAATAATTGTTTTTTTGCTTTCTTTTAATTTAGTCTCAAAACAAAATTTTTAATTCCTAAATTGAAAATTCAAATATTTAATTGTTTATAATTAAAGGGGAAAGTGGAGAAATGGGATAAGTAACATTTTTAATAATAAAGGACAAAAAATATTCTAATTGCAGTTCCAATTTTTTTTATTTTCAATCAAAATATTGTTTATTCTTTTCCATTTTAAATGGAATAAGACAATTACAACAAAAAATTGTTATTGCAATGCTAAGTATATTTTAATTACCATTACAATATTTTATGTCCTATTAATAAAATTGTTACTTAACCCCTTCAATTATTTTTTAGCAAGGAATAACTTTTTATTTTCATTTCATTTTTTATTTAAAATTGTGGTAACAAATTTAATTTTGATTCAGAAACATGCCCCCCACATTTACGTATTAAAATCAGATATTGTATACTTAAGCTAGTCAGTGTATACATAAACTGTAGCATTTTTTTTATTTATTTATTTACCCAAAAAGACCAAAGGTCCATAACAAGTAAAATACAATATAAAAAATGTAGTGATTGTAACAAGTTTATACAATATATAATTTACTTAATACTCTGTATTGTAGTTTCTTTCTTCAATTATTAGATTTTTTACAGCCCGCTGGAAAGCATTGATATTTGTTTGGTTCTTAATTTCATTTGGAAGTTCATTGTATAGTTGAGCTGCATTTCTAGTTAGACTTTTTCTACCAGTATTACATGTATTAGGAAGTATAAATTTATCATATCGATTTCTTGTAGGATAATTATGAATATCACAGTTATTTTTCAGGTTTATACTGGATTCAATTAAATTGTTTTTTATTTTGTAGATAAGTTTAACACTGTCAAGTTTTATCATCTCATTTATTGTTAGTAAGTTAAGTTCATTATACAGGTCTTTTGTATGTGTCCTATGATGCTTGCAGTACAGAACTTTTATTACACGATTTTGAGTTGATTGTATTCTTTTAATATCAGTTTTTTGAGATTGACCCCAGAATGCGCATAGATAATTTAAGATGGAGTGGATATAAGAATAGTATATGGTATATCTTGTTTGTTTGTTAAAATATTGTGCATTTCGTTTTAAGTAGTAGCTTATGTTGTTAATCTTTTTTCTAATATTATCAATATGTTTTTCAAAGTTGAGTTTATTGTGCATTGTAAGTCCTAAATAGCAAAACTGGTCTACTTCCCTAATATTTTTATCACAGATTTTTAATTGGTACAGGTTATCACAGTTAGGTTTATTAAATGTCATATATACACACTTACTTTCATTTAGCTTGATTTTATTGTTTTTTGTCCACTTATTGATTTTTTCGAGATCATTTTGAGCTTTTCTGAAGATTGTTTCTATTTCCCCATCATAGAAAATAACAGTATCGTCTGCATATAACACTATATTACCACTAATATCACAGTTTTTAATGTCATTTATATATATTAAGGGCAGTAGTGGACCTAAGACTGAGCCCTGTGGGACTCCATATTTGACTACATTTTTATCACTTGTTGTGTTGTTGCACACTGTATATTGCAGTCTGTTTTAACATTTAACATTATGTATGTATTTATATTGGTGTTTGGTTAAGGTACACATTTACGTATTAAAATCAGCTATTGTATAATTAAGCTAGTCAGTGTATACATAAACTGTAGCATTTAACATTATGTATGTATGTATTTATATTGGTGTTTGGTTAAGGTATGTGCAAGAAGAGAGAAATATCAAGGAGGAAAATTTGCGTCTCCAGCGTAAATTGCAACTGGAAGTGGAAAGGCGCGAAGCCCTTTGCAGACATCTTTCGGAAAGCGAAAGCTCATTGGAAATGGAAGAAGAGCGGCAATACAACGAACAAATGTTGGGTGTGCGACAGCATACAGTGTCTCCGATACCGTACAATCCATCTCCAACACAAAGTCGCCCACTTAGTCCAGGTAAGACATGTTCATTACCTCTAGCTACCATTATTTTGAAATTAAATTTACTTTATCTATTTTGCGTTCATAATGACTTCATTATATATAATGTTATAACACTGCTTTCGGTGCTTTAATGAGATACTTTATCCCTCCCAAAATTTTGATTGTATAGGTTGGCTAAACTTTAAACAGCATAATATTTTGCATATTGGTTATAATATTTTTATGATTTTTTTACTACTTACGAGACTTTTCTGGCAATAAATTTTGTTTAACACCAAAGAAAATCATTTTTTTCTTCTTTAACATTAACAGCCGCTTATTGCAAATAAGTAAATTAAGGACGCATGCAGTGTTACCAGATTCTGTCAAAAAAGGACCGTACGTTTCGTTCGAATTTACCTTAATTACAAAATGACACAATGAAACAATGCAAATAAATGCAATTATGTCAAGTTGACGTTATTTAATATTGTCCATTGAGTTATTTTTGTAATTAAGGTAAATTCGAACGAAACGTACGGTCTTTTTTGACAGAATCTGGTAACACTGGACGCATGGCGAATCGATTTTGACATTAACTGTCAAACCAATGACTGTGATACCAACTATATAAAGTAAAATTCGACCAAATTAAATTTAAGGTATAAAATTAATTTTTTTTATAGAATTTTTGCAAAAGATAAAATACCATAAAGAACTCATGTCATAAGAACTTTTGTCGCACTCGTCCATTACAAAACTCGCTCCTTCGTCACTCGTTTTATAAATTGTCCGTGTGCGACAAAATGACGTCTCATGACATTAGTTCTTATATACAGTTAATTTTTTTAAATCTGGATTCGTGTTTTTTTGTTAGGTTGGTGGCTTATGCCAGTTTGACTTAGTATTTTTAGTATTTAAAAATGGTTCTTCTGCTAAAGAATTTAATTAAATACTTTGACACTGTCAAATTGACAATAATATTTATTATTGATAATTTACTTGTCAATTATAAATAAAATGATAATTAAGCCCGTTTGAAGGCAAAACTTCATTTTGATGAAATTATGCCAAATGCCACAATGGAAGAAAAAGTACATCGCCTTATGGGCATTTTTGAAGTAAAAAAGTAACGAATTTGGTTTTATAAATATTACATCACACATTATTTTCACATTATTCACCATTGGACAACATTTACGTTCACAAAACATTTTAATTTATTTTATATAAATTCTTTTTAAAGCGAAGAATATTATCTGCTAGGAATACTTTCTCTTCTGGGCCGTAAAGCAACCTATATTTAACTACTTTTTTATATGATTTTACTCATCCAAGCACCACCAAAGCCAAATTAATTGCATTTTTAACTACGAATTTCGTCAACTCAACTTGACAACTGCACAATGTAACCTAGAATAATTTCTACATAACCACAATTAGATTTATAACTAGCTTAGTTTGTTTTAATCAATGCGACCAATTTGACAACTGTATTTACCAACCAAAACCCTAAATTTGCAACGGTGCGGCAGTCCAGATAAAAAAAAATGAACTTTACTATTGTGTTTCATAATATTCGAGTGGTTAACTTTGTTCTTGCTTCTAAGCAGCGCGGAAATTATTTGTTTAAGTAATTCTTAGTTAATGTTTATTTTTTCGATCTTATTAATGAAATTTTACCAATAGAAAAACAAATATAAATATAATACTTTAACAACAAACGTATCTTCCCTCCCCTTTTTATTTGTTCAAATATTTGAATTAAGTTTATTGTTAATTTTGTTCTTTTTTTTATAAGTAAATAACATTTTTTTATACATACCAAAACATTGTATAGAAACATATTATTTGTTGTAAACGGGCAGGACCTAGGTCAATAGCCCTTTGGTTAACCCAATAAAAATATATATAACCTCAAATATAAAGTGACGCTGACCCAATAATATTTAACGGTGCGCGCCAGCCTTAAGCTATTAGCAACTGGCACACACAAAAATTACTAAGTGAACGGTTTTATTTTCTTAATTTCGTAAAAAAACGTTTTAAAACCGGGAAATTTTTACAGTTCTTGGTCAACAATACTGCCGTGTTAAGCTTAAAGGTCGTATCTGCAATATTTTGTAGTAAAGGACAGAAGAAAATTTTAATTTTAAAAAACGATAAAAATGGCTTTTTTGCTTAACTACTAAATATTGCAGATATGAAGTTTTGCCTTCGAACGGCAGTTTGTGGTAGTAAAGAAAAAACTTTATTCTTTATTGTTTTTAAAAATTAAAATTTTCTTCTGTCCTTTACTACAAAATATTGCAGATACGACCATTAAGCTTAACACGGCAGAATACTCAAATGAATAATATATTTTTATAACACATTAAAATTACGCCTTAACTATGGTTTCGCGTAAAAATCGAACAAATTTTGGACATTTGTTTGCAAGTGATGCCAGAATTGAATATATTTTTTAACCTTGTTTCTATATCTAAATGGTGCATTTTTTTCAAAATAAAAATTTCATCCATTGACCGCTGTGGTTTTCAGGTCTTACTGTGTTAAAATAGATAAATTTCGATATTTTGTAATAACATATTTATTTAAAAACGATTTGAAATTAAGATAAAATGAAGACCTTATTGGTGGCAATAAATCCACTGGTTATTTTTTTTTGGTTTTAACATACAGGGGGCACTGGGGACAATTTAATTTAAAATTTTACCATTTTTTCAGGGTTAAAAGTCGAAAAATCCACGTTTTTTTATAATATTTAGTATATCACGTTAGAGTACTGATAATTAACTATTATTTGATATATAAACTTCTACATGCAAATTATGTTTCTATGAGAGACACCATTTATAAGTAAGGCCTTCAAAGGGCATAATACGTGCATAATAACGTGTTTTACAAAGTATATATTCTTTTATCCAGTTTTATAAGATAATGTAATATATATTATATATTACATATAATATATTATTATAACACAATTCTTACATATTTTTTTTAAAAAATCGCCATAGATGGCGCTTAAATTTTTTGTAATTAGTTATTTTGCATTTTTTTATATTTAAAATAATGCTATACAGATTCTTTCTGGAGAAACGCAAACGATAAGGATTTTAAATTTTAATAGCATATCCAATTTGATTTAGACTATAATTTTTCTCGTTAAAAGTTTGCTAAATGCACGTTAATCAAAAATTGCCTTTTATTTTTTTTTATTATGTTTGCTGACATGGGGTTGGAATTTTTGGAATAATAAAACATTTTTTAAATAATTTAATTTTTTAAAGGTTTTTCAAACTTTAATAGTTATTTATGTATTAAGGGCATAATAAGGTTTTTATGGTCCGAGGCGCTATTTCGAGCCCGAGCGCGTTAGCGCGAGGGCTAGAAAAGCGTCGTAGGACCATAAAAACCAGTTATGCCAGCAATGCATACAAAACTTTATGCACGATTAATATATTATTATTTTTAATATATTATTGTTTTTAAAGACGTTTACGTCAAAGAATTTTTGTAATAATTGTCATATTATAATGTCAACTGACATCAGTCAATTTTAAAGTTTAAAGATGAATGAAATTTAGGAAGCAGCTGAAAAGGCGAAAAATTGCGACCTGCTGCCGGAAAAATCAAAATCTTTATACGAAAAAACTTACTTCGAATATATCAAATGGTGTAACATTGTTGTTTTTAATTTTTGACGTTTCATTATAGCCCGCTGGGCCATAATAATGCCCGCGGGCTATAAAAAGACGTTTACGTCAAAGAATTTTTGTTATAATTGTCATATTATAATGTCATCGTGCATAAACAATAATAACGTTTTTATTATAAATGTAAAACCCTGTATGTTTTCACATAATCAAATAGAACATTAAATAATCTTTCGATTGGTATTATAATAACTGTTTCCTAAAGTTAAAATTTCAGAGACATTTAACAATTTCTAATACTTTCAATACTATTTTGTTTCAACAAACCTGTGAAATTCTACATTTGGGTTAATGTGACAGTATCCATGGTTACCACAAAATCTGTCATTATTTAAAATTAATTAAAATTTTTGATTAAAAAATTAATGACTCGAAAAATATTGACTTTAGGTATAGGATATGGTATAGCCATTATACTCGGAATTTTATGTAGAATTAAAAAAAATAAAAATATATGAGGTGCCTTGTTTAAAATTTAAAAGACATTTCCGTTAAAACAGGAAATATTAATTTGTTCAAAATAATTTAGGAAAAAGTCTAAAGCGAATAATTTACGCCATCAAAATTTTAAATCGATGTCTTACGTGATTCCCTAGAAACTTTTAACGGACTGTATATTAAACGTCCTTTATGTGTTATGCTATACTTAATTATTAGTGTAAAAATATTTGTAGTCAAATATCAATACTTTAACGTGTTATACTAAAATTTATAAATCAAAGTTGCTTCTTCGGTTATTTACCCTTTAAAAATTGTTAAATTTGAAATTAAATTATCACCAGCGCCCCCTGTACGTTAAAATCTAAACAAAAATTTTTCATGGATTAATTTTCATAAGTCCAAATTTCAAATCGATACGTTTTGAAATAAGAGTTATTTAAAAAAAATGAAATTTCTTAATTTTTAAACACAGTGAAAAACAAAATAAAAATAAAAACAAAGTTGTCAATGGACGAAATTTTTTTTTGAAAAAAGTACTGCATTTAGATGTAGAAATAAGGTAAAAAAGTTTCAATCGAATTCTTGAACACTTGCAAATCGACCGTTCGATCCTTTCGCGAAACCGTAGTTAAAAAAGCAAATTAACTGCATTAACTTTAAATCAAAGTTGGTAATACAGATTTGGCCGCGACTAAATCAAATTTTGTATCTTTTTAAAATAGCTGGCTAAAATTTGGGTTTCCCTTTTGTTCAGGTATGTCGCAGATGCAGGCGCCCTCGCCTAGGGACTCGTTGATCGTCGGCACGCCTCGCTGTCACTCGTGCGGCCAAGTGTACGTTCCGGCGGCGCTGTTGCCGGTCGGCTCGAGCAGCCCGCCGGCTCCGCCCCACCGTCGGGCCAGCGAGCGGTTCATCAAGCCGGCAATACCGGCCCCGCAGCCGCCCAGTCCCATGGACACTTCCACTAACAAGGAATAAACGATCGAAGAGGGTAAGCAATTGCTATTAATGGCCAAAATATTCTGCTATTTTAAATAAAATAAAACAAAATGAAGTAGTCGCATTGTAGCTAAGCAGTATTTTAGAATGATTATTTTCAATTTTTATCCAAATCATACAGGGTCTCCATAAAATGACACACTAAAAATTGTGCTATGCTTATTTTAAGCATAAAAAATTACACATTTTTTCCAACAATTACTTTTTTAATTATAAAGGTTTAAATAATTAGTTTTATTTTAAATTTAAGGAATTGAACGCAATTTTCTCATGATGTTTCAAGAACAAAAAAGTTAAAAAATTGTTAATAAAAGTCAATAAAGTTTGGTTGACATTGTTTGCAAATGTACTATGCTCCACACCTCAAAGTCCCACCACGTGACTACGTACGGAACGCAGTCTTTTAAAAATTTGGCATTTTAGGCTTTTCAGTCAAAGTATAGTCAACGAAATAAATAATATTATGTTTAGGCGTTAAAAATGTATAAATCCTCATAACATTACAATAACAATGGTTGGTTTAAGAATTTAAGAATATAAATACTGCATTTAATGAAATTCTAAAGTGTATGGTGCCAAATAAGTAATATTTTTGTGCATTTGGTCCAAATATCTGATTTTCTCCATAAAATAATTTTAACTAAACAGCATTTATTAAAAAAATCTAGCTTCTCTACTATCGAATAATTATATTTGTATTTAAGGTAGGTTAATATATTATAACAAAAATATCATCTAATTTTGAAATTTTTAGGTTGGAAAAAATTATTTTGACCAAAATAAATAAGTATTTTGGATTATTTGAAAGACTGTTTAATATGGTATTAAAAATTTGGTAGTTTTTCTAATCCAGCTTAAAGTATACCTACATAAAGTTTTGTTAATATAAATAGTTATAAAGCATTGACTGAATTTGATCTACATCGAAAAATCATTATAACTTTAAAATTCTTAATAAATCACATGTCATTCTAAAAATTGTTTGTTTTCTTATAATTTAACTTAAAGTAGGTATGCCGAGAGGTATGCACAAGTTTTGTCATTAGAAGTATAAAAGCTTCAATTTAATTTGAACCAAATTCAACAATTATTTAGTATACCTATATTTATTTATGACCATATTAACACACTCTTCCAAATAATCCACCTATTTATTTTGGTCAAAATAGATTTTTCTAACCTTAAAATACAAAATTAGATATTTTTTGTTCTACAAAGTGACTAGGGGCACGCTAGCGTGCCCCGATTCAAAATGTTACAGGCACGTTAGTTACGTCATAATAATAATCCGGTTTTGTTCCCCGAACTTATAATATTTGTTGCAATGTCAAGCTAGATAGCTTAGATGGTAGGGCGGTTGCTTGGCATGCGAGAGGTACCGGGTTCGATACTTAGAAGTTGTCGAAATTTTTTTATTTTTTTATTTCATAAATTTGTTGCTTTTATGTTAAAAAGTGTTCTGTTGGGTTGGGTTTGTTTTGGTTATATCGTAACATCTACTAGAAGTTGTCGGACTCTTTATTTTTTTATTTCAAAAATTTGTTGTTTCTTTGTTAAAAAGTGTTTTATTTTTATCGTAACATAAATTTGCCCATTTTATTTGGGTTTTTTGCTCAATGGGGCGGGGGGGCCCAATGGGGCGGGGTCGGTTGGGTTGTGTTGTTGAGTTTGGGTTGGTTTGATTTTATGACGTAACTAACGTGCCCTTAACATGTATACAGGTACAATTTATTATTATATTATTGTTGTGCCGCCAATTTTAAATTAAGCGGCACGGCAGTGATGACGTTTTTTATCTATTACGTCACTAGCGTGCCCGTAAAAAATAAATTGCAGGCACTCTAACGTGCACCTAGTCACTTCGTTTGTTCTAATACATTAACCTACCTTTGATACAGATATTGTTATTCCATAATAGAGAAGTTTTTTTTAATAAATGCGGTTTAGTTAAAACTATTTTATGGAGAAATGCACACTGAATGCAAAAAAATATCAATTATTTGGCACCATAGAAATAATACTATTAGTATTATTTCTATGTTTGGCACCATACACTTTAGAATTTCATTAAATGCAGTATTTATATTCCTAAATTCTTAAACCAACCATTGTTATTGTGATACTATAAAGATGTATTAACTTTTAACGCCTAAACATAAGCGGTAACACTATAAATATTATTTCTTTCGTTGACTATACTTTGACAGATACATAACCTGAAAAGCCTTAAATGCCATATTTTCAAAAGACTGCGTTCCGTACCATGGTCACGTGGTGGGACTTTGAGATGTGGAGCATAGTACAGGGTGAGCCAGAAAAAAAATTAGCAGACTTTGCATTTGACAAGATTAAGTGTGGAAAACAACATTTGGTGTTCATTATAATGATAACACAGCCACACAAAAAAAAAATTGTGTTCTGATCTGGGGGCCTGACCATATTTTCTATATATTTTTGGGGTCGCTGAATCCGAATCCGAGGTCTATTTAACCCCATCACATCAGGATTTTGCCATAACCTTAAAAAACCCATCATATAAGCTATTACTATATATAACCCTGAGAATGTGATTTTAATATAAAAATCCAAGCTCTTAAATATCACAACTTTATAACTCACATAAATCCATAACCCCATAACCCATTTAACCTTATAACTCAATGTACATCAACCACGTTTGTCAGATATTTAACTTAATGTGTACGTTATTTTAATAACCGCCTAACTTTAGTCTCTTCAAAGCTAATTGTCTGACATACGTAACTGTTGGAATTGATGTTGATGGGGTTAAATGGGTTACAAGGTTATGGGATTAAGTGGTTTATGGGATGGGGTTAAAATGGTTATTGGGTTTAATAGCTTGGGTTTTCAGATCACAATTTCATCCTAAGGATTATATGTTTAAATAGATGATGGGGTTAAGTGGGTCATGGGGTTATGGGGTTAAGTGAGTTTTAGGCTTATAGTGTTTAGAAGCTTGGGTTTTTAGACAACAACTTAATATTTAGGGTTATATGCGTTTAATAGCTTAAATTATAGATTTTTTAAGGTTATGTCAAAATCCTGATGTGATGGGATTAAATAGACCTTGGATTCGGATTCAGCGACCCCAAAAACATAAAAGAAATATGGTCAGACCCCCAGATCAAAACACAAAAAAAAATTTGTGTTTTGATCTGGGGGCCTGACCATATTTTCTATATATTTTTGGGGTCGCTGAATCCGAATCCGAGGTCTATTTAACCCCATCATATCAGGATTTTGCCATAACCTTAAAAAACCCATCATATAAGCTATTACTATATATAACCCTGAGAAAGTGGTTTTCATATAAAAATCCAAGCTCTTAAATATCACAACTTCATAACTCACATAACTCCATAACCCCATAACCCATTTAACCTCATAACTCAATGTACATCAACCACGTTTGTCAGATATTTAACTTAATATGTACGTTATTTTAATAACCGCATAACTTTAGTCTCTTCAAAGCTAAATGTCTGAGATACGGAACTGTTGGAATTGATGTTGATGGGGTTAAATGGGTTACAAGGTTATGGGTTTAAGTGGTTTATGGGATGGGGTTTAATAGCTTGAGTTTTCAGATCACAATTTCATCCTAAGGATTATATGTTTAAATAGATGATGGGGTTAAGTGGGTCATGGGGTTATGGAGTTAAGTGAGTTTTAGGCTTATAGGGTTTAGGAGCTTGGGTTTTTAGACAACAACTTAATGTTTAGGGTTATATGCGTTTAATAGCTTAAATTATAGATTTTTTGAGGTTATGTCAAAATCCTGATGTGATGGGGTTAAATAGACCTTGGATTCGGATTCAGCGACCCCAAAAACATAAAAGAAATATGGTCAGACCCCCAGATCAAAACAAAAAAAAAAATTGTGTGGCTGTGTAATTATCATTAATCAATTTCTGAAGGCCTTCTTTAGGGAGGTTCGGAAAGGGGAGTGCTTTTATGCATAAATAGCGATAGGTACCGACTTGCAAAAACAACATTTGTTATGTTATTTTATTACATTACCTTATGCATACAGTGTTACCCATTTGTTTTCAACTCACCCCGGAAAATCTTTGTTTTAAGGTGATATTTTTTTTAACTGGCCAAAATAAAAAAACACTGTCTTTGGCATTTAAAACGGCAAATGATATTTCGTTATACCTTCCTACATTTATATTTACTTTTTAATAAATCGATGTTTATTTGTAATGAAATATATCTTTGCTCAACACAAGCACGATACTAAGTTTTCATTTGCAAAATATTCGAACAAAATGTCTACTTTGAGATGTTTTTTTTGTACTTTCTGATATGTAACCAATACAAAACTATTGATAGTATACTATACTCGTAGTTTCTTTAGATTTAAGAGCTTACCAAATTTAAATAATTTTTTATTAAAGTATTTTTATTTTTAATTCTATACCAGGTGATAAATCCCTTCTACCTTGAATTTTTTTTCATATCTAAGGAAGATAAGAAAAATTTAACAAAAAATGATTTTTATATAATCATGTCATTTTGTTTAACTAAACTTAATTAAAGCAATAATTGTTTGCTTCAAAAATTAAATTAATAAGTTTAACTTGTAATACATTTGATCAATTCTGTGCTAAAAAAGGGTAATGTATTATTACTTGTATTGGTTTTTATAAATTACAATAGCCTTTTGGATGTTTCAATAAATATATTTACACTATCAATATACTATCAATTTGATTTTTTTAAATTTTATCAATTTTATAAAATGATCCTTGTGTAAAATTACACTGGGGAACACATTTGCCAATAGATTTTCTTAATTGGATAATTATTTTTTCATTCTGAATAAAACTGAAAGTTATAAATGAAGTTCAAAAGTATATAATTGCTCGAAATTTTTATTTATTATGCGATCAGATCAATCAAGAAAAAAAATACTAGCTAGAATAATAAAAAATTCTTGTTACCTATTTCAAAATAATAAGTTTTAGTTTTATAAAAAAGTGTACCCTATCATATCTATTATAAATTCGGATAAAAAGCTTAAATATTAACAACTTAATTTAGTTTTGTTGTTAAAAATGCCAACAAATGCATATTTTCTATGAAGAGACAATAACATGATAAAATGTATTTTCAGATAAGGCCAACTGGACTGGACTGGACAAGTTTCAAAGGAATAAAATTACCTTTAACGTGAAAACAGTCCCATTCAATAAATAATCATTTCAAAAAAGGATAATTTTTATTTTGGTGTAGAAGAGTACAGCCCATTTATTTTTAGGAAGATAACAATCTGATTGTTTCGCATGTTAAAAACGGTTTGTCTGCGTTATTTTTGAGTTGGACTGTTTTCAAGTAAAATGACCCATATTATAAAACAGTTGTTCCCTCTCTCAACAGCCTATTAACACTGGTGTCTAAGTATATATATTCAATATATACTGTAAGTTAATAATATAATCTGTTGTTACTGTTTGCAGCTAAAAACTGAAAATTTTTGGTTTGCGGCCGTCTTTGCTTTGCTAATTTAATTAAAGACGTGTATGTGTACTTATAAATATATAATTATATCGTTCATAACTTAAGCAGTGCTAAGGTTCCATTTTAAACTTTTCGAATTAATATTAATGTAATTATATTGAATATTTTTATGTTAGTGGCGCACATGACGACATTGCCACTTAAGTAAACATTGTAAACTTAAGTAATAAAAATTGCCAATACTACTTCACAGAATTGTGATATTAAAAAATATTATAAGTTAACAATGAAGACTAGTTATTTTATAATAGAGTTCCTGTATATTTTTTATCGTCTTTTTTCCAACTTAAAATTAATTTATAAATATTTTACATTCTGATTAAAATTTAGATGCACATGGTATAAATAAATTGTTAAAAATGTTATATTATATCTAGAACAAAAAATACGTTTTAGGAACAAATTTATTTATTTAATACAGCAAAATTTTAAGGTTTACAAATTTGACAATTATTTACCTACCTAGAAAGAATTTGGTAGTGTTGAGCAACTTTATGAGGTGGCAAAAGCTGTGAAAAATATACAGTGACTATTTAATTGCAGTTAGATTTTCTGCCTTTTTCTTTCAAGCTTCTTATTTTGTAAGTATTATGTCGTCTCCTGCTTTTGTTTGCTTATTTTCGTTAAGTTTTCGCTGTTGATTATGTTAATACATGTATGTAAATATTCTTTTAACCATTATAAGAATAATTTTGAGTTTAAGTACTATCCCTATTTTAAAAATGCTCCAAAGGAGAATTTGTTAAGTTAGTTACGCGCAACTTTTAAAAACTAAACTCAGTTAAAAAAAATGAATAAAAGAAAAGTGATATTAGAATGTAATTTGTTTATTGTACGTTTAATTTTTTATAATTGAACTTTTTAGCTGAAATTATTAGGTATCGAATGATTGTAAAAAAAATAAAAAAGCAAAACAAAGAAAAATTAGCCAGGGTCTACGTATATAAGAAAAATAGAACTATATAATAGTTTTTGTTAAATCTGGATTCTTAAAAAGTTATTAATAGTATACATAAAATGTATATTGTAACAATCAATGTGTATTATTCACAAAGTATAGTAGTCTGCTCATTAGTTATTGCCATTATTATTTTTTACTTTAAGCAAATTACTTTCTATTTTATAATTTTGTAATAAGGTGATATACTGGTTTATAAAAAAGGTTTGATTAACATGTAGTTTTATTTTATTTACATTAAAAAACTGGAACTTTTTGAGCTAGAAGTGAAGTATCTTCCTTATTGATGCTTACAATTGAAATAAGAGGCTTTCCTCTGTTTACTACTACAAAAATTCGTACAGCACATATTTCCATTATGTATTGCCATTTTAGTTCATATTTGGCTTCATCCTTCATGAGTAGAAAATCTTGAATCTGCGTATAAAAACAATTCTTATGTATGTTTTTAAATTAAAGTTTTAGGACTTACTGTGCAACCAAATGTATTTTCAACCGCATTTCCTCTAAAATGACAAAAATAAAGTGTACCTGTATGATCTGAAATGTTAATTTTCAAATCGAACACCATTTGGGGATTGGTTTTTTCTTTATCCATAAATGCAGGACATCCACTGTTATCACATTCTAAGCCATTTAAAACATTTTGTCTACATAAAGTACTATATAAAACAGTAAAAAATGTTAATAAAGCAATACACAAGCTTGTTATAGAATGTGGAAAAATGTGGGGGTGATCAGTAAATACAGTGTAAGTTTTATTTAAAAAAATATTAAGTATCATAAAAGTTATGTGCATAATACTTATTTATGGTACTAGTGTGTTATGTTGAAAATATGTCACGCGAGAAAGATTTAAAGTGACTTAGAAAAAAACATAACACACGAGTGGCATACAATGTTTTATCCGACATGTGGAAGAATTCGTTTTTTTAATAGACTATTTCACTAGACTTTTTAGGTAATAAAATGTCATAGTAACGGCACGTTTTCTACTGACTATTTCCCTCGTCTTAATTTCAACCAATCACAAACGCGCAATTTTGAATTACAAATGGTTTCTAGGTGAAAAAACTGTGTGACAGCACCTGTCAGCAGTTTATTCGAGTTTACCCGCGGCAAAACTTGACAGCTGTTGTCAACAAAAATTGCAATTTATATTTTAAATGTTAACCGTTACTCATGAAATAGTCTTGTCAAATACCATTCGGGCATCTAATTTTTCCTGTGAAAAAAATCGAAAAAACACAATGCCAAGTAATATTTTTTAACAAAAAGCATTCGTGCAGGTGCAAAAATCCTCCTCTTCGACTCGGATTTTTGTTGCCACCAGCACTCATGCTTTTTGTTAAAATATCACTTAGCAACGTGTTTTTTCGATTCTTTTCGGAAAAATTAAATGCCCTTATGATATTACTTACGATAATATTTAATAAGCTTTGTGGTCAAATAAAAGCTGCTTGCGTCTCAATATCCTATAAATGTCTTTTTTACATTTTGGTCAAAGTAGGTTGTTTGTTTGGTTGCCACGGGCATGATACATTGTTAGCAAATGTTTAAATAAATTTTGACACTTGTCAGTTTTCCCTGCATAAAAGAAAAGCTTTTTTGAAAAAAAAACGTATAGAAAATGGAGGAATCCGATAAAAATTACGTTCCTGAGGATATCCTTACGGAAGCGGAAGAAGCAGCGATGCAGATTTTGCCAGAAAAGTCCCGAGATGCTTACGACAAGGAGTTCAAAATGTTTGAGTCTTGGATGAATTCACGGAAGATAAAAAGTATCGATGAAAATGTTCTTTTTGCTTATTTTTTACTTTTGAGTCATTCCAAATAAAAACACCAAATGGGGTGCGCTGCGTGATTTTTTATTTTGATGAAATAATTTGAGGATGATCTTTTAGGTGTCAAATATGAAAATCCGTTGCCGTTTTAATTTTTTGTTGCTTTACTTTTATTTGGCACCCCTTAGAAGTCTGAAATAGTGTCAATTTCTTACTCTCTTATAGTGGGCCAGAACTTTTTATCTGTGACAAATATTGAAATAATTTTAATTTTGTTATACTGTCCAGTAAATGTATTTTCGATATAAATTATTTTTATCCAATTAGTTAATCTCATAAAAGAATGGTAAACCACTAAAGATTCATGATAATTTGCCAATTTTTGTTATTTTTGTCTAGCTCCTGTGCCTATTCTACTGAATTTAGAAGGTTCACTTTTTTCAGGTATAAAGTACTTATAAAATAGAAAACGTAACTATTATTTTAAGTTTCTAGACTATCAATTTCTTTATTAAAAAAATTATTGAAAATTGATAATTCTCAAAATTAGCCAATTTTGCCCTCAGAAATCATTATGTTGAGGAAAAAATAAAAATCTGAAACTTTCAGGAAATGTAGTCCCCACCTTCATCTTTTCAGTCCAGTTAGTCTTGTTTTGTTATTCCTTTAAAAGATATATTATTTTTTTAATGTCCGTTTAGTAGCGATATTGTTAGTTTTATTTATAATTTAAAATTTAGATGGCTTTCATGTTTGGTGGAGAAGTGTCAGAACTGTCAAAAATATTTCATAAATATTATTTGTGCGTATTTCTTTGGTAAATTTTGTATATAACATAATATGTAATATTAGTAGTAGTAGTAGTAGCGATATTGTTAGTTTTATTTATAATTTAAAATTTAGATGGCTTTCATGTTTGGTGGAGAAGTGTCAGAACTGTCAAAAATATTTCATAAATATTATTTGTGCGTATTTCTTTGGTAAATTTTGTATATAACATAATATGTAATATTATGTTATATATAAAACTTTTTAAAATCACCATGGTGATTCCTTTGCAAAGGAATACCACAAATAATAATTATGAAATATTTTTGAGAGTTCTGATATTTTTGGTAGTTATGTTATATTTTATGTATTGAAAAATCATATATATTATATATATATATATATATATATATATGTATATGATTATATATTATATACAATATAATGAAGTATTTAAAGAAGTTTAAAGAAGAAGAATGTAAAAAATATATTTAAGATCCTTATGGTTTATATCGTTAAGTATAATAAGTGAAATTAATAAAGAGTTAATTTAAACGTATAAAAAATGCGTTAAGCAGTTTTTTCAAAAAAAACTTTATTGTCGTTTTCTTTCACAATTTAAACCAAGTTAGTCTTGTTCTATTATTTTGATCCCTTTAGTAAGGCACTAAATAGTTAAAAGTTAAATGTATGTATTTTAAATGTTAGTGTTGGAAAAAATTTACACAATCTGTAAATACTTCTTTAAATTTTAGTTTTTAGGTAACTGGTTAAAATAAAACATGTTATAATAAAGGGATTTAGAATATTTTTTAGTTTTTGCTTATTTTTAACAATTTAAAACTTCTCAGAACTTAAATATTTTCTATAAGAAAGAGGTACAAAATTATGATATGTTCTTGCATTTTTAATTGCAATTAAATTCATGAATCTCGAACACTCCGTCATTTATTACACTTGCAAACTTGCAAACTTTTTGAAATCACAATTTAAATCCACATAAATAAAATTTATGAAATATTTTTGACAGCTCTGACATTTCTCTACCAAACATGAATTGACAAAGTCAAAGCCATCTAAATTTTAAATTATAAATAAAACTAACAATATCGCTACTAAACGCGTTTAGCCCGGGGCATTAAAAAAATTAATATATCTTTTAAAGGAATAACAAAACAAGACTAACTGGACTGAAAAGATGAAGGTGGGGACTACATTTCCTGAAAGTTTCAGATTTTTATTTTTTCCTCAACATAATGATTTCTGAGGGGCAAAATTGGCTAATTTTGAGAATTATCAATTTTCAATAATTTTTTTAATAAAGAAATTGATAGTCTAGAAACTTAAAATAATAGTTACGTTTTCTATTGTATAAGTACTTTATACCTGAAAAAAATGAACCTTCTAAATTCAGTAGAATAGGCACAGGAGCCAGACAAAAATCACAAAAATTGGCAAATTATCATGAATCTTTAGTGGATACAAACCAAAGTCCAAGACATTAGAACGACCTGAAATAGAGAAGTTTTTGAACGAAGCTCCCGACGACGAGTACCTGTTGATGAAAGTGGCTTTGATAATGGGGATTAGCGGTGCTTGTAGATGCGATGAATTGGTCAATTTGAAAATAGAAAATATTCAAGACAAAGGGAAATATTTTCACGTAGTTTTGCCGGACACTAAATCCAAGAAATTGAGAAGTTTCACCATACTTGAAGAAGGATTTCCAGTCAACCCGATCAATTTGTGTAAAAAAATACACGTCTTTGAGACCAAAGAATACTAGTTCTAGCCGCTTTTTTGTTTTTTTTTTACAAAAATGAGAGGTGTGTGGGAATAAATACGTTGTCGAAGATACCTTCAAGAATTGCAATGTTTTTGAAATTGGAGGAACCAGCGCTCTACAGCGGTCACTGCCTGAATGGGTCTTCGGCGACTCTTTTGGCCAATGCAGGGACTAACATGACTACTTTGAAGCGTCACGGAGGATGGAAGTCCTCGACGGTAGCAGAAGGATACCTAGAAGAATCGGTGCATAACAAAATACAAATTGCAGAAAAAATACAAGGTTATAATGCGTCGGCGTCTTCCAGCACTATCAGCACCTGTACCGATATGGGAGCGTCTGGTTCCAATGAACCAACGAATTTTACAATGACTTCAAATTCGAATAAACAGCGTTTTCCTTTAATTTCAATATCAATGTGAATTCTGCTTTTAATGGTAATAAATAAATAGAATACTACTTTAAATATGAACATGAGCTATAATCCATAACTCACTAGTGAGTTTTGAACACACTAGTTTACTTGTCTAAAATGACATTAATAATGACAGTCATAACTGTCATGTGTTGTATAAACCAATTTTATATATACGTCCTATAAACAGGGTGATTTATTAATATTCCCAAAAAATCAAGACGAGATTACCTGCATAAAATAAGAAAAAACTTACTGTAAACCACAATCCAATTGTGTGGATTGTTCAAAAAATCAAGATGAGATTACCCGCTTAAAATAAGAAAAAACTTACTATAAACCACAATCCAATTGTGTGGATTGTGCTATAAAGTATAGTTTCCAGAAACGATTTTTAAGAGAAATATGGCATGCCACTGCTTTAAATTTGTTTTGATATTTTTAACGGATAAAACAATTAAAAAAAACTTTTTTGTCTCTGTTTTTCGCATCTTGCTTCGTTTTCGAGAAAAACGAATTTCTCTTCACTTCTGAAGCAAGTCAAAAATATACACATCAAAATGTAGGGATATAATATGCAATTAGCACCTTGATTTATTTTAACCACACTAATTATATTCATCACCCTCTGATATAACAGGGTTGTTGAACATGTTATGGTAAAAAAAATTATAACCTCCATAATAAAGTTCTATCTGCATTTGCATATCATTATTTTAAGTAGATATTAACCTAAATAAAAAAACAGGTTCGCAAGTTTTGACACCATTTTCCTCAATATGGTGCAATATGGTCCACATAGAACCTTGTTATTACATGAAAAATATTTTTTTAGAAGAAAGTGCATGCATGAAAACTTAAAATGTAGGTATTCAAAAATCACCTCCCAAATTTTTGCCAAGACATTTTTTTATTTCACATAATATTTTACCATTTAGCAAAAGTGGATTTATTTATACCATCCAAATCCATGTTAGTTATGTAGGCATATACTAACGCTGAAAACTGTTTATCCACAGTTATACCTTGAAGAATCGAATCTACTCTGTTTTGTATTTGATTTACGCTCATAATTTCTTGAATTTGATTTGCTAAATAAAAGTAAAATATTTAAATAAATTAACTTAAAAAAAATATATTTACCTTCTGGAAGGGTTGTTAACATTTTATCAACAATATCAAAGGTTTCAATGGGGGCATCTTTGGCATAATTTAAAAGAAATTCAGTTTCTCGACACGGAGGGTTTTCCGTTACTACAGTTCGATTCGTGCATTTTGCCCTAAATGCTTTTTCGAAATCAGACCACTCAAGTTTCACGTCCGTAAAAAATAACACTGTGTATCTTGGAGTCCAAGTACTAGCTCTTAAATATTAATATACAGTTTAATTCATTATTATTGTACGAATACGAAACAATTAAAGCGTTTGAATCTAAGTCTTTTTAACTTAATTATAATTATTTCCTATTTTCACTCAATGAATCCAAACTTTTATACAATATTAAAGAATTAACCTGTATATCATAAAAAAATTTGTACTATGCTCCACACCTCAAAGCCCCACCACGTGACCACATACGGAACGCAGTCTTTTGAAAATTTAGTATCACAATAACAAATTGCATTTAATGAAATTCAAAAGTGTAAATATAAGTGATATTTTTGTGCATTGGGTCTACATTTCTCCATAAAATACTTTTAACTAAACAACATTTATTAAAAAAAATCTTACTTCTCTATTATGAAATAAGAATATCTGTATCAAAGGTAGGTTAATGTATTAGAACAAAAAATATCATCTAATTTTGTATTTTAAGGTTAGAAAAATCTATTTTGACCAAAATAAATAAGTGGATTATTTGGAAGAGTGTGTTAATATGGTCATAAATACTAAATAATTGTTGAATATGGTTCAAATTAAATTGAAGCTTTTATACTTCTAATGACAAAACTTGTGCATACCTCTTGGCATACCTACTTTAAGTTAGATTATAAGAAAACAAACAATTTTTAGACAAACTTGCAATGTGAAAATATTTAATACTCCCATAACATGTGATTTATTAAAATTTTTAAAGTTATAATGATTTTTCGATGTAGATCAAATTCAGTCAAAGCTTTTTAACTATCTGTATTGACAAAACTTTATGTAGGTACACTTTAAGCTGGATAAGAAAAACTACCACATTTTTAAATACCATTTTATACAGTCTTTTAAATAATCCAAAATACTTATTTATTTTGGTCAAAATAAATTTTTCAAACCTTAAAATTACAAAATTAGATGATATTTTTGTTATAATATATTAACCTACCTTTAAAACAGATTATTATTCCATAATAGAGAAGCTAGATTTTTTTTAATAAATGCTGTTTATATAAATTATTTTATGGAGAAAACCAGATATTTGGACCAAATGCACAAAAATATTACTTATTTGGCACCATACACTTTAGAATTTCATTAAATCCAGTATTTATATTCTTAAACCATCCATTGTTATTGTAATGTTATAAAGATTTATAATTTATATTTTAACGCCTAAACATAATATAATTTCTTTAGTTGACTATACTTTGACAGATACATAACCTGAAAAGCCTTAAATGCCAAATTTTCAAAAGACTGCGTTCCGTACTTGGTCACGTGGTGGGACTTTGAGGTGTGGAGCATAGTACATTATATCTTTGTTTTAAAAATTATAATATTAGGTACAACAATTAGTTAATTTAAATATTACCGTAAGATATTATCTGAATCCCAAAGGGAAATTGACAAACTGAAAGCTGTTACGTCAAAAATTTCCACATGAAGAACCTGAAACGTTTCTCCAGTAGCTGTGTTAATAGTACGAGGTGTTCCACAACCTCGTAAAACACCAAGAACATCAATATATACATCTACGAATAAAAAAAACAAACAAGTTCGAATATAGGTAAATGTTAAACTATAATACTGTTCAAATTTCGTCCATTATTTTGTACTTGATTTAATGGTATTAAGCCTGCGATTGGTTTCGTAGGTAAATTCAATAAATTGCAGTAATAGTTCCGGTTTACAACAGCATGTTCCACTATTTGAGTAGGTTCATTAAGTGCCAATGAAAATGGCGAAGTTACCATAGGCTTAAATTGTTCTCCGTAATCATTAACGTTTCTTACAGCAATTCTTGGGTTAATTAGTTCAACTAAAACCCAATAAAATTATTAACTTAAACGAAAAAATTACTAATACAACTAAAGACCATAGATTTCTTGACTCAATATTACAAGTCTACAATGTCTAAGATAATATGTATACCTTTACAATAGAGGGGCTTGGAAGTAAAACGGTTCAAGTGCACTTTTTTAAATAAATGGTCTAAGTGCAGAATATCACACCTAAATAGTATTCTAACTTAGTGGTAAAATTATATAAGTACATTTTACATTCCCTGGCGCCATTTCTTATCGTCTTTAAAAACCTGTAAAAATATTTTAAAATATATCTTTGGTAAAACGATTTAAGTGCACCTTTTACTGCTAAACATAGGCTATTATCTATGCTGCTAAAGTGTGACCGGGGTCGGAACGATATCGGTCCAGACTGATAAGGATTCAACATAGTAACTATGTTCCTGACATCAATGAAGAAGTAGAAGAAGAAGACCATGTAACTCCAGCAAAAACTAAAAAAAGCCGCTAAGCACAAAAATTTACTTAGGTACCTTATTGGACTATATTCCGCCAATTTACCACTTATTTTATAAAAACATAGAGCACGATGGAGATCCATCAGAAAAAAAGAAAAAAAAGAAACAAACTTAGACCATACCCACTGAACATTATGGATGTGGTGATGTCACAGTGACGTTTAAAAATTGTCAATTTTAAGGCACATTAACTACGTTTTTTAGTGATGTTCAATTTACGTAAAAATTACGCTAAAAAATAAAAGGCGCTGTCGAGCACGTCACTATACCGTCCAATCTACGCCTTTTATTTTACTTTAGCGTATTAGGTGCAAAACACAACGTACATTTTACGTCACCAATGTGACACATGATAAATATGAATGGGATAGGTTTGCCAATGATGAACATTAAATGCCAATGATGAACATTAAAATACGCCACAAAATATGCCACATTTACATTTTTGTTGGAAATTTGAGTGTACCTATACTTGTATAATTAAATACCGAATTTAATTCATAATTTTAGATTAAACCGAAGGTAGATACTTACTTAGAAACCAATGTAAGTAGGTACAATTATTATTTTAATGACTTATTATAAATCCCAGAGTGATTTATTAATTAATATTACCGCTTATAAAATAATAATTATTCTATTATTATCGCATAGTGAGATTAAGAAACGTATATTTTATGTAAAATTTACGTAAAAAAGGACTCGGGTAATTTCGTTTCCAGTCGATATATCGGTAACAGGGCATACTCTGTTTGCGTTGCGACTGCCATTGTTCTGTGTTCAACACATTGTGTTGCCATTTGTGCTGTGTGATAGAAAACGCATTGTTCTCCATAGGCGAGACTGAACGGTTTAGGTAAGTTGGCTTTATCATTTGTTTGCAACCATACGCGGTTATAATATAATTAATTAATTGTCCCAATATCGCCATGATGGCGCTATTAGTAGTTATCGAATTTTGTTGATTTAAATGTTAGCGTTGAGTGAGAAGTAATATTAATCAATGCTGTTAGCCTTAAAGAAAAGTCTTTTAATCAATTTGATTTTTCAGTTAATACACCAGTGAACATGGGAGACAAATTTTGCGCAGAGCGACAGGCAAGTTATATAAGTTTTATATACTTAATTACTTAGATAACTTAAGTTATTAATGTTTGTTTTAGAAGCCAGTATGAAATTATTTCGTCTGACTGAAAGTGATTTCGATAAAGAAAGCAAGGAGTTATTCCAAACCGCCAAGAAACGCTCATAACGTTTTTTGGCCAAATTTGGACATGAGAATGAGGCCGAAAATGAATTAGGCGGTATGTTTTATTTTTATTATTTTATTTATTATTTTTACCAGACTAATAATGTTTAATTTTTATAATTTATTTTAATAAAAAAAATATATTTCCAAAGTGGTAGTTTTATTAAAAAAACGTAACTAATATGTACAAGTTGAAACAAAACCTATACGTCCATATTAAAATGAAATTTTTACGTCCTTTTAAAAACGTAATTTTTACGTCTCCTTATCCACGTAACGGTTAGGGCTAATTCACGGCCCAGGATCCGGACATAGGCACATCACAGCGACGTTTATGTGACGTTTATTTTACAAGATTCTTATACGTCACACTACAACCTTTGACGTAAATTTTACATATATTTTACGTTTTTTTTGCTCAGTGGGTAGTATTGAGCCAAAAAAATCCAATTTAGATCAACCCCAACCAAGACCAGCTAATTCAGATGAAGAAAACGTTGTATTAGATTCTGATTATGAATAATACTTTTTGTTGTATAAGTTAATTACCCAAATTTTAAAAAATTAAGTTTTGTTCTAGTACAGTAATTGCATTTAAATCACTTTACCACTAAATTTTGTCTTACATTGCATGACGATTCAAGTACATTTTTGTAAAAAAAAAATAACAAAAAAGCGAAATTGAAAAATTCCTTTTTCTTTATAATCCTTTTTAGTCTATAAACAAAACTAAAATATTCATGTAAACTCTTTTCTATAATTTTAAAATTCAAGTTAACTTTAAAGCCCTTTATCTCAGAATTAACAAAAATGCACTTAAACCCTTTTACTTCTAGGCCCCTCAATTACGCTCTGTCATGTGCGATTACCCATACGTAATTTTTGTGAGGTCGGTGGTTAATTTGAATTTTTGTAGAGATAAAAACATGATCAGAAATTCCTACGGGGCCCCGCGGGGAAAGATATGATATATTTGATAATAGTTTGATTTACACGATACCGTATGGCACACACGTTTTACTTTTTAATGTCATGTTTATTAAAGCTAAATATTAATTCAAGTTGCGTTTTTAAAAATTGACTGAACATTTTAAAGTAAAAATTTTATGATGTCTTGGTATATTAAGTACACAATTTTAAGCACAGAATAAGAATTAAATTAATTTTAATTCTGGAACTGAATGGCGTATTTTCTGACTAAAAAATTCGACGAATTAAAATTTGGGTTGAGATAATTTTAATAAGGCGCTACTTAAGAAACATGCAGTCAAATTGAACCAAAATTTTAATTCATCGAATTTCCAGTTAATTCAAGGTGCGCGACATTTATTTAAGAAAAAGTAATACTGAAATTATCATTATGTCGCAATTATTTTCTATTATTACTCGTCGACATAAAAATCAATTTACCTGTTAAAAATTAAAGTGGTAAAGTTTCTTATTCTACACACAAATATTTTGCACGAAATATTTGTTTTAATATTACTGAAAATTTTATTTGACTAATAAGAATTGAATACAATTTTATTTTTATTGCTATTAGTCTGACTTACTAAAACTTATTCAGACTTTTCAACTTTTTAAGAGAAAGTAAGACTTTAAAAACTTTTATTTTTACTTATTAAAACTTTTTCAGAGAAAAATTTCCACAAAGGCTATATTGTATGTAGCATTTACATTAAAAGGTGTCACTAATACTTTTGTAGACTTGCAGATTATTGTATAAATAGTTATTGAAACACTAGTTTAATTAAAAGAATATAAACATTAAACTCCTTTTGCAATTGTCTCAACTCACTTTGTAATTGTTAAGGTTCATGCGATTGTGCTTTATGGGAAAAGTAAAGCTTTTATGATGAAAAGTTAAATATTATACATAGTTTTGACAATTATCGTATGTTGCAAAAACCCAAAGAGTTGTATTTACATTAAAAGATGTCACTAATAGTTTTGAAGACTTGCAGATATTGTATAAATTATTGCAACACTTTAATGTTGAAAAAACTTAAACTTTACTTAAAATACAAGTATTGCATTCGACTTTTGGCAATATACGAATGTTGTAAAAAGTATGTCAGACCTGTCTATATATTTTAATAGCGTATATTAAATACCTACAGTATTTACGTTAAATAACATTTTTAAATAATTACCGACTTTTCCAATATTAAAGGTACTTGAGATGTGGATTATGTCTTCATGTTTAGCCCAAATAGTAACATTAATATAATCTCTTGGAGAATCTCTTAAAGTAAAATTCCAAACTCCTTTGTAACCATTTCCTTTTGTATCCAAAAATTTTCTTGGCCGTTGTTTAGCAATAATAATTCCAACAATAAAAACATTATTCATATCTGGTTGCAGGCTTTTTAAAAACACTCTTGATAAAGCTACGGTATTACCAAAATCCATTGTAACTGTTTTAAACACCTTAAATCAAATTAAGCCGCAGATTGACGTTTAAAATGAAAGCCACTTTTGACGTTTCTATGCATACCGTATAACCTACAACCAATAGCATTGATTCAATCAACGCCAATAGCAAAAGAGTTTTGTCACAGCCTACTATGGGATTGTAATGGTTTAAAAAATAACTTGTATACAAATAGCAATATAACAATACTTTTAAAATTTATTATTTATCTAAAGGTACATTATTTTTACTTGTAGGTATACCTACAAGTAGACTTACAATGATCGCGCATCAGTAAAAAAAACAAATGGTACAAAATGCACGCATTCCTTGTGAACAATCACATTTTCTTACAAAATTACCGCAAAAATCGGTACAATGGAATGACGCAAATTAAATTTATTTTTTAACAATTGAGGCCCTTTTTAAAAAACGACACTATCCAAAAAAACTAGTGATTTTTGGATGATGTATTTTTTAAAAACTTCCAATACAAATAAATACTAAGTAAGTATTCTTGATTTAGTTATGTTGACCCCTCAAACAACCATAGACAAGCTCTGTCAAACAAAAATGATAAAAAGAAATCAGCAAACAAAACTTGAAGTAAAACTAGGCGAAACTAAAATTAAAAAGGTAAAGATTAGTAGAAATAATATAAAAAGTTTGTATTTTACTTACATCTGGAGGGAAATCTATTATTTCAAATAATTCTGATAAATCCGGTAGAATTCCCAATGTTAATGCCAACACGACTCCTCCCGCACCTAAAATACTGTATAATAAGGCTTTATTTTGCTTGAGACTTTCCATGTAAGGATTTCCCTAAAAAAGTATTTTAATAACAATGTTATTTATTTTATTAATTTCAAGGTTGTACCCTATAATTTATTGCAAACGTTGCTATTTGAAGGGCAGTAGAAATTATGTAAACTGTACTATTTACAATATTTGGTTTAAATATTTCATCTTCCTCCTCTTCTGTTAACTTTTTAATGGGTTCAGTAGAATTTGTTTCGTCTCTAAAAAATTATCTTATTTAGATAATAATAGTATTTTATTCAACACCCATTTCATTTCTTAACTTTAAATCGTGGGCGAAATTTTACTTCGCCCACGGGTTGAAGTTAGTTTAAGTTAAAATTTAAAAAAGTGAGGTTAAAGTTGCTTGACAGCTGTTAGTTTTCAGATAAAAAATCAAATAAAATTGGCTTTAAATTCCTTGAGGTAGTTAAATAAAATATTGTGTGCGACTACTGCTCAAAAGAGCATGGAGTTTGCCACGCAAGTCGCACTATAAACTATTATTTAACACCCATTTCATTTCTTAACTTTACATATCCCACTAGGACGAAATTAAAATGATTTAAATCAAAAATTTGTATAGAGCGCCATCTATGAAACAACAGGGGAAACTGTCAAATGTCACATTTTTTTATTTTATAAACACAATTATAAAGGTTATAAATCGAAATGTATCTTGAAAATTGAAAGTTTTTCACAAGGAAAGTAAGGGAAATGTTTTATGAGGACTTTACAGTAGAGTCCGTGCCAGAATTTAAGTTATAGTTTACTGCCGGCGAAATTAAAAGGTCAGTACAATGTTCCTATAAACTTTTCAAATATTGGCGTAGAGAAAATATTTATTATTTTTTGTATTTTTGTATTGAAATAATAAAATAATTTTCACATTTAGTATTATTTTACAAGAAAGGCACTTTATTTTAACGATGGTATGACATTTGACAACTGTAAACTAACTTAAAACTAACTTCAGCCCGTGACTAAAAACCTGTTGCTAACTTCAGCCCGTGACTAAAGCGCCATAAAGCCACAACTTGTCAATGTGTATTTAAAAGGTCACTTAGTGTCATGGAAACATGTACGATAAAGGGCGTTTTAAAGGTGGGAGTAGAAAAAATAAATAAAATAAGAATTATACTTACACTGGTAGCCTCGCCTTTGCTTGTTGTACTAAAAAAATCAAACAACAAAAATGGACAGCAAACTGTAACAGTACAGTCATGATAGTGTAAACATTAAAAATGTTTGGTAAAGGTCTTTGTTTAGACAACACTTTTAAGGGCTAAAACATGTTGTGTTAATAAACAATAAGTAATATTAAATTAATTGTATATTACCTTTGATCTGGATATGAATAAGAAACAAGCTGCCAATAAAAGACCCTGCAGAGTTGCTTGCATGTCACGTAATTTAATTCCATCCAAGTACAAAACCGATTGAGTGTAGGCCAGAATAAGGGCATTAAGGGCCAAAATTTTAAACATTTGTAAAGTGGTTACTAAAGTACATCTGCCCTGTTTTATTATGTGGCAAACTAAAAATAAAACAAAATGTTATAAAAGGTCAATTTTTATTTCGCTATGATCTAACAGCATCATATATCGATTTGTAGTGAAAATCTTAAGCAAATCAGGTTAAAATCTGTGTTTAAAAAAGTGGATATACGTGGATTTGCATTGACACGTATCCGAACGACACAACCAGCCGTGACACAGCTTGTGTGACGTGACGTGATGCATTAATATATAAAAGCCCATCTTTCTAATGGTTGTTTAAAAACCCACAAACTATCCAAATATTTTAATTTGGATTTATTTTGGTAGTCTTGAATAAAATTATAATAATTATTTCTAATCATATTAAATAATTTGTAATTTTGTTAAATTGCATTAATCGCAAAAGTTATAACATTTGGATTTTGGTAATGGTTAATATATGTAAGTAGTTTTTATTTTATTAGAATATTTAGTTAGTAGTAAAACTAAAAAATGTGTGTAATGGGTACGTGATTTTCTCATTTTTAGTAAAAATTACTCGTGGGTAATTTTTACTAATCAATTTATCTTTATAAAACTTTAACACAAGGTTTGTGTGTTTGTGTGTAAAAAAATAATTAAATCACCCGGCGAAAATAAACTTATTCAAGCACTAAAACACTTGCGAAATTAGAGCAAAGATTTACTACCTGGACTAGAAAAATCATTGTACATGTTTTAATAGAAACAATAAATTAGTGCATTAAAAAGCAACCCTCAACAAGTGAATATAGTGAATAAAAATCATACGGACACGGAAGTAATTAAGTGATAAGTGACAGCATACCTGGAGAACTAACCCCAGGCCAATTTAAATCACTTTATGTAAAGAACAAACGAGTCTAACCAAGAGTGCACGCGGCTATCATCTGCAAAAATTTGATAAATACTGACCTAACACGCAAATTCACCACAAAAACCTTACAATAATCAATAATTATTACTAAAAACAGCGTAACAGTGTAAATAAACCAATCATTAGGTAAGAACGTCTCACAACCTAAATAAGCATAAACTTAAGAGGCCAGCCCCAACAAAATTAATAAGTTTAAAACTTAACGAACGAAACTAAAATAAACAACCAGTTCCGATATTTATTTTGAAACTATATTTTAAAGTTACCGGAAACTTTCCCTGTTTTTTATGTAATTGTTAAACACCTGATTGGCGATGTTAAGGCCAAGAAACTGAATAAGAAGAAGTTAACTTATGTTTGTTGAAGATCTCATCATCACAATTTATAAATCGTTTGCAAAAAACCCTTTGCATAAAAGCCTTTTAAGAGGTAAACAAAATAAAAACAATAAACAAAGTTAAAATCATTCTAACGTTTTTGTTGTTTATTTATTTATTTAGGTACAGTACAATGCCAAGAGACGAATCTTATATTTGGAATTATTTAAAATAGTGCAAAAAAAGACCATGGTCAATGCAAGTTCTGTAAAAAAATATGTTGTTAATGCAACCAAAATGTTCAAACATATAAAAAAGGGCCCCACAAGATAATATCTTATATTATAAGATTATCTATGCAAAACTTTAAGTCTACTGAAAGTCAAGAAGAGAGTCCACCAGGTAGCAAAGCCAGTACTGGAAACATAAAAGAATTTGTTGATAAGATGTCTCTTAACAAACATAATAAATAGGAAGAACTATTTGCTCAAGCAATTTACTCTAGTTCTTGCCCCTTTAGTTTAGTCGAAAACCCTGATTTAATATTTTTTAAGCAACTATGTTAAGTACAACATTGCTTAACTCTGAATATGCTAGAATACAAAAACTAGTTGAAAATAAAAAGGCTGATAATATAACAATTATTTCCTTGTGTAGTTTGGCTCACTAAACGCGAAAATCACACTCAAAATTTTTCGAGGTATGAATTTTTAATTGTTTTTTTTTTAAATTTTTTGAGGTGTTTTGACGTTTTGGAGTATACTTCGAGTTCTAATTGATCGATTTGACCAAACAAGCACTTAAATCAAAGGTAATTGAGCCCTCTACAACTATCTTTTGTATAGTTTTGGTGTCGGCTCAGTAGTTCGATACTGACGATTTTATGAAGTTGAAAAAGTCCTTTTTTTCGAGGTCGAAAATTTACATATCTTTCTGGAAAAGATAGAAATCGAAAATATTTTGATTTATTTTACGTATAGATTATACTTGAACAGAAAAAAAATAAGCTGCTGTTGATAAAAATCCATGGATAAATGGCGAAGTTATGAATTTTTCAGTGGAAGAGCAAAATTCAGTTTTTCGAGAATTTTTACGTTTTTTCTTCATTTTATTGAATTGTATAAAATTTAATATTGAACAATAAATATTGAACATTAAAGATATCGAAAGTTTTATTTTGTTTTATTAAGCATAGGTTTTAAAAAATTATGGCTCCTTTGTTTTTTGTTGCTTTCGTATTCCGTTTCTCGTATGAAGGACAAATGTAATCAGGGAAGCAGCCATGATGGGTGATTACTAATCACCCATCATGGCTACATCCCAGAAGCCGTGATACCGCCGCTCCATAGTCTTCATTTGCTGGTGAAAACGTTCTCCGTGCTCATCACTTACGTCACCTAAACTGTCCGTGTTATTTACGCACTCAAACTCTCTACTTCTTTTACTCATTTTACATTTTTTATTAACCATGATAAAAACACCTTGTTAAAATATCAAAAAATAGCAGTAAAATGTCACTATGCCAACACGAGAAACAAAAGAATTTACGTTTGCGGAGTCATGTCAAATTTAAATAATGTTTTCGGTGAAAAAAGTACGTAAAAAACTCAAAAAATTCCAATCATGCACTTTACTTAGGTTTTCATTAAAGAATAAACATATTACAAAATAAAAGAACAAGATAAAATAAAAATCGTCAAAAAACTGAATTTTGGTCTTCCACTAAAAAATTCATAACTTCTCCATTTTTTCATGTATTTTTATCAACATTAGCTTGTTTATTTTGTAAAAATAAATAAAAAAAAATTAAACTGGAGTTATCTGTTTGATTTAAACCCTTCCCAGGACGATATGTAAATTTTCGACCTCAATTTTTGCCATAAAAACGAATTTTTTAACTTATCAAAATCGCTAGCGTCAAAATACTTATGCGATATCAAAGTTTTAGAGGGCTCAAATACCTTCAATTTAAGGGCTTGTTTGACCAAATCGATCAATTAGATTTCAAGCTATACTTAAAAACGTCAAAACACCTCCGAAAATTGAAAAAAAAAATAGTTGAAAATTCATATTTTAAAAACGCTTCCATAAAAAAAAATAATGTGATTTTCGTGTTTAGTGGGTCAAAATACATGGAAAAACTATAACGGGATATGGTGGGCAGAATTTTTTTTCGATTTTGTACACTAATGTTATCGCAATCTTCCTGGCACAAAAAACTCATTTCCGCAATAATTTTTTTTTTAAGTGAAACTTCTTTGGTGAGAATGGGAAGTGAATTGGGAAAAATGTAACGTCCCGAGATTTCGTTACACGAGAGAGAAAAAAGATATAACGTGGAGAGAAAGTAAATCCGATCGCCCCTCCCCCACCATTTAGGGGGCCCCACCAATGCTATATGTAGCTTTTTAATAAAACGAATATGAAAAAAATTGTCGAAAAAACAAAAAATTGGGTCGGTTATACCGCGCGAATCCTGTAATTTAGAATTAATTTTTCGTAGATCTAACTCTAATTTTTCGCGGATTTTTTATCGCTTATCCGCTTGCAAATCAGAATGTAAATTATCACAATCAAAGTTTTGGCGCGCGAAGACGTTTTTATATAGTCTATAGTCATAAGTTATGACTCATAACAATTTTAAGCAGTTGGTCCTTTAGTGCTTGTCGTAACGTTTTTGTAAATACAGGCAAACAGTCAATTACTTATAATCTAATATTAAAGTTAGTTTTTGTCCCAGAATTTATTGGTACATTGGAGTGTTGTGGAATATTTTCCGGTGTTTCCGAAATACTGCTTCGTGCTTTTCTTTGGACAAAAGATTGTTTTATTGTTTGATTTTGTATGAAAAACAGACAAATAATACGACTTTTGATGCACTTTTTTCAGTTTGCGGTAAGTATTAAAAATACAAACAAAACATAGATCCATTTATATTTTACTTGAGTATAATGTATATAAGGGTATGTTCGTATTATTCAAAATATATAAAATATAAGTATATAAAAACACTTTCATTCACAACTCTATTCTACTATCTAAATTTATAATTTCTCAGACTTGGGTATAATGTATATAAAGTTATGTTCGTATTATTCAAAATATACAGGGTGATTCAGACTTGTGGTGTCAAAAGCTCAGAGGAAATTCCTCTCACCAAAATATGAAAAAAGTTCCTAAACACCTGTCCGAAAATGCTACATTATCGAGATACAGGGTGTTTCGTTTAAAAAAAATTAGTTTTTTATTTATAGCTTAAAAACGCTTTGGCCGATTTTATCAAAATTTATATGGTTTATTAAGTAATAAATGATTTAAGGATAATAAAAAATCACGTAAAGTTCCTCTAGCTTCAAAATTTACCATGAGTTTTAATTTCTCAAGTGTAATTTTTTTTAGAAATATTGAGGGCCCCACCAAATTCGGTCCCAGGGCCTCAAAACTCTTAATCCTGCCCTGCGCGCCGGTGTATTTTGTACACCATTTTTTTTTGGTTTTAAACATTTACACAAAAAATTGCAAATTTTAATAATAATTGAAAATTGCAAATTTTATTAAAAATTAAACCGTTAAAACCGCACATGTCTAAAGTAATTGGGTAGTGACATTCTGAATATTCTACTGTTTTTATTATTTTATAATAATGCGGCTTATTTGTAATAAAGCGGTGTAAAGCCGACAAAAGGCAAAGGCGTGGCGCGCTCAAAGCATGCCGCTCTTTAGGCGCGTGCCGAGAGCAAATTCGCTTATGTTTTTATGCCAAGGATATAAATTTATTTCAGAAGAAATTAATCAGTAGTTAATAACTACTAGTTATACTAGATAGCAGTCACTGCTAAGCAGTGTCTGTGTTCGATAAATGTTGCCCTATGTTTTAAGGTATTTATGAAATTTTATTATTAAAATAATTGTAATAAACCAGCTTTACATGATAAGGCGCGTGCTGGAATGATTTTAGGGCCCGGGAAATAGTTCCCTTATAGGGCCCTCCCACGCCTTAAATTTTATGTATTAGAGAAAGGGTTGGGGATAGGGTTGGGACAGTTGTAATTTTCAAATGAAAATTTCAACTTTGAAAGTTTCAAACTTGAAATATTTTATTTAGTTGGAAAAGTGAAATTTTTAAAAATTTCAAATGAAATTTTCAATTCGAAGTTTCAGAAATTTCATTGAAAGTTTCGCAATTTACTGAAAATTTCGCATAAATTTCACATGCGGCCTCCCCTGGGACCTTTAATAATAATTTACAACAGATTCCGAATCGACCAATAAGAACGAGTTATCAAGCGTCTGGGCGTTTTTGTTTAGTTCGGCTTGGATTTGAATACACTATAAGTAATTATTGTTACTTATATGCATAAATTAATTTAAATAATTTAATTCAGTTACCAATTTAATTTGTAAATTAAATCAGACTTTATTTTTTTTTTTAAAGTCATGATTAATTTAAACTTTTACTTTTGCTATAATTGCTTTGGAAAACGGATAAAAAATGCCTTTGGCTCATAAAATTTTGATGAAGTTTCTTCAATTTTTGTATAATTTCAGTAAAATATATAAAAATAATAAATATATATAAATATAAAACAATGAAAGTGGCACAATCTCATTAGTTTACCAAAAAGTGCTATATGTCTCTTAGTTTTAGTAATTTAAAAAATATTTTAAAAGGAAATCTCAAGAAATTTGTGGTAAACATAGGTACCTATTTACTATTTATATTATTGATGCAGGGGCCCACAGAGGGGTAGGAGGTAAGAGAGGCAATTTGCCATGGTCACCGAGTGGGCTTATTTCAATATTAATTTATTACACTTAAAGTGATTGAAATTTATTGAAAGTTTTAATAAATTCCAAATTTCAGACATTTAGGAAATTTTAATAAATTTCATAAATGTCGTGAAAATTTCAAGTGAAATTTCAAGTACAAGCAAAAAGTGAAATTTTCCCAACCCTAGTTGGGGAACTGGTTTGGGGTTTATGTTGTGTAGCGTGCTGGGACGGTCATTACCAATAACCAGGGACTTGTAACGCGTTTCTGGTATGGTTAAAAAATATTTTTTACACAAATTTTATACTGTTATAATCTCTAAAAAACTATTTAAAAATTGCAAATATCACGGTGCTGTTCTGAGAGGTGATTTTTGGACTTTCTGTGAAACCTAATCTTTTTTTATATTCTTGTTAATTAGGTCATAACTAAAATTTTAAGAGCAAAATAAAAAAAATTTGACGGTTTGAATTGTTTTAATTGGTTGTTTATTAAAAATATTATGCACTCTTTCAATTATCCAATTAAAACTGGCGATTTTATTTAAATATTTAATATTTGCATAACTAAAAAAGAGGTTTTTACAATTTTTTTTATATATTTTACTGTTTTGTTGCAATAAACGTTCAAACTTTTAATCTAACCTTTGACGTATACATTTATGTTCCCTTAATTAATATATCCTTAAAGGTTGCCATGAAACTTAGATCTATTAAAAATTTATTTGACGTTTGAATTGTCATTTTCGGTATACGTATTCTATAATTTTTGTTTAGTTTTTTAAAGTGTTTTTTATAAACAAAAATGAAAAATTGTAGTAAAAGTTACGAAGAAATTCATGAAATTTAACTAAAGACCAGTTTATTCATCTTTAGTTTATCGGGCCGATAACTTTCATGTCTTGGCAATATCTAGTATCCAAAGAAATTATTCGTCAAATAAATCAAAAATGTATAAATCGGCCCTAAATAAAATGTGGCACCCTTAGAATTATTGTTTAATAAATGCATACTATACATTTAACCTTAAATTAAAACTTTAAACGTGTATTACAACAAAACAGTAAAAGATATAAAAAATGTATAGACCTTTTTTTAGGAAATTAACTAATCTTTAATCTGATTTAAAAAGTTTTGATAATATTTAAAGAAAATCGCAAGTTTTAATTGGAGAATTGAAAGTGTGCATACATACTTTTAATAAACATCCAATTAAAACCAAATTAACCGTCAAATTTTTATATTTTGCTCTTAAAATTTTAGTTATGACTTAATTAACAAGAATATAAAAAAAATTAGGTTTTACAGAAAGTCCAAAAATCACCTCTCAGAACAGCACCGTGCAAAATCAATCCGTTAAACGTCATTAAAAAACGTATGCATGAAAATTAGAACATTTCTTATCGGACGATTTTATTGAAAAACTGACATACGGATACATGATATGGTTAAGAAAATATTTTTTACACAAATTTTATACTCTTATATTTCTTTTGAAATTATCCCTGTCTCTTTATCTCTCTCTCTCTAAGCATAAGAATATTTATACCATGTTACTAAATAGTTAAATTTGAGTTCAATTTTTTTTAACTTTCGGATAGTTTTGGGAATTTTCAATGGAAACTTTCCAGGAATTTTCGTCAAACTTTCCCATCTCTAAAAAACTATTTTAAGAAGAATGAAAGAAATTGGCAATGTGGAGAGAACAGTAAACATTTTTGAAAGCTACCTAAACTGTAGGGTCCAGTATACAGTAATAAATGGCACTAACAGCAAAAAACTTACAGTCACCAGTGGTGTGCCACAGGGAAGTGTACTAGGTCCTATTTTGTTCCTAGTTTACATTAACCAAATTAACAATATTGGACTACAAGGTAATATCACACTATATGCAGATGACACCGCCATTTTTTACTCTGGCACCCTTCAAGCAATGTTCAACTGTGCACAAGCTGATCTAGACAACATTACAGCATGGACCCATAACAGTAACATCAAACTGAATGAAAAGAAATGCAATTTCATGATTTTTAATAGCAAAATTTCAAGCACTAATTTTACACTCACTATTAATAACAAATCATTATGTGAAGTAAGTAGTGCTAAGTACCTCGGACTAATACTCGACAAGGATCTGCTTTTTAACAAGCATATTGAATACATACAAAGTAAGTGTAATAAAATGATGTATACTTTGTGGCATACTTCTTTTATGTTTAACAAGAACACTAAGTATAAGATATACTATGCTAATATCAACTCCATACTGAACTATCTAAGTGCATTCTGGGGACAAGCTCGAAAACAAGATTTGGATAAAATACAAGTCACTCAAAATAAGATTATAAAAACCCTTTTCTGTAAACCACCACTAACTAACACCAGGGATTTGTATAATGAAATAAAGTTGTTAAAAATAATTGAACTTGTAAAGTTGGACAGCATTAAGTTAATCTATAAAACCAGGCATGATATTGTAAGTACTAATATTCAGCTACAACAAAACTGTGATATTCATGAATATAACACGAGGACAAATCAACATTTCCATCTGTTACCAAATGTTACCAACATTGGAAGAAAACGCCTAACTTATAATGTTACTAAACTTTTTAATGAACTTCCCAATGAAATAAAAGCTTTATCAAATCTACAAACCTTCTCAAAGGCTGTGAAAACTCATCTGTGTAACTTAAGACTTAAAATCTAATGAATGTGATATTAATAATAATAATTCTATTACTAATTTGATTGCCTATATATATTGTTGTATTTTATGCCTGTTATAAACATTTATGTTTTTTTGGGTTTAATAAATAAATAAAAAAAAATTGCAAATATACTTACTACACATAATTGAAGACAACCTGCTGGTAAAGGGAGAAGCAATGCTGGCATCGCCGAGTTTGACAACCTGCGCCTGCTCTTCCGCCTCCAGTTCCTTCATCATTTTGTTCATGTTCGCCTGCAGCCGATCTCTTTGCTCCTGCAGCTTCACGTGATTCGGCTTGTTGCGCGCGCCAGCCACGTCCCTCGCCAAACGCTGCCGCTCCCTTTCCTTCTCGCGCAGCTCCCTGACGTTGGGCAGACTTTCCGGGGCGTTCGCCAGAATGGCGACGCCGACCTCGGCGTGCTTCAAGGCGCCCACGTCGTTGGTGCCGTCGCCGCACATCAGCGTCGTGAAGCCCAACGCCTTCAGCCGCAGCACGACGTACTCCTTCTGCTTGGGCGCGAAGCGCGCGAACACGCTCACGTACGGCAGTATCAAGTTCAAGAAGGCTTGGTAGTTGTTTACGAGATAACTGAGACCGTCGCCCGTCACGCAGAGATCGTATTTTTTCGTCAGATCCTTGTAGTTGTAGTCGAGAGGTAAGTCGGCCGACTGCTCTATCGTTTGCCACGAGAAAGTGTCCTCTTTCTCGGTCAAAATTAACGTGGGTTTCGTGGTGAATTTCAACTCTTTGGCAACGTGGCACGCCGTTAAGGGATTATCGCCCGTAATCATGACGACTTTATGCGACGCGTTTTGTAGTTCTTTAATGACGGCTTTCGAGTCGGTTTTCAAAGGGCAGGATATTATGACGAACCCGGTGAATTTCAAGTCCTTTTCGACGTCCTCGCGCGTCAGATCGCGCAGTTCTTGTGTGGATAGTGTACCGATTTCTCTGTAGCCCATCGCCAAAACTCTGGCTCCTCTTCTCGACAGTTCCAAATAGACTTGATCGTATTTTTCTGGGACTTCGGAAAACATTGCTTTCAACGTTTCTGGAGCTCCCTTTACCTGTTAAAATTATACATTTTTAAAACAAGCTCACACAAACCCAAAATAAGTAATAGAGTTTAAGTTATCATAGTACTTCTACTAATGGGTGAATCTCACGAAATGTCCCCCGATGGTGTTACCTCGTGATATTTAATAAAACTAAATGAGTTTGACCTACACTTTTATTATGTTTTGATCTTTCATAATTAAGTAGAGAGTTCCAGATTTTTAACCGCAATTTATTATTTTTTACAATGTTTTAAAAGTCTAAAACCTATCCTCCGTGACTGTTACTCTTTCTAGGTTAACCTATATGTTTTCAAATATCTGAGGTAGTAAAAGCCTACTAAAAATATCAGTTCATTAAGTAAATTAAACACATCCAAAGCAATCGAATCAAATATTAAATATTATTAAAAATTAAAAGAACCATTTATGTAGGTGTTACAAAAATTGATTCTATCCTTCGTGAATCTGTTTTTGCTTTAAATTTTATGCAACGGATGGTGCTTTAATCGTTTTAAATAAGCAAAAACCATTATAGATGCATGTGATTCCTGAAGGTCAGTTAGAATTTATATGCAGATGAGAGTGTTGCTGTTTTATAATCCAAAAGTTTAAGTTCATTAATTTGCCATTTAAAAACCTATCCACCGTGAAGTGTAATATCTCAGTAAGTAGTTTTTTTTATAAATATGTTATGTATGTACAGGGTGATCCCCTAAAATGTCGCCCCCCTTTAACTTTTTTATTTTAAGTGTCGCAAAAAATTTAAAAGTGTGGTTATGTAGGTACTAAAAATACTTTTTTTTACGTATAAAGAAAATTGAAAAATTGATCAGTTTACAGGGAAAACAAAAAGTTTATTTTTTTTCAATGGGTCACCCTATATATGAAGTTATTTTTCGATTCCTTGTAAAATTCTAAGCATATTTCATATAACATACCATATACCTAAATTCAAGCGTTTCTGAAATATTTAAATTATTTTTAAGATAATAATTTGAAATAGTTTGTTTTTCTGTGTCTGAGTACGCCATTTTTACTTATTTAACAAGACATATTGAAATAATGTCACTATAGTAATTTATTTTCAATAAAAATTTTGGTATACTGAGGCTTCTTGATTTCTAACAGTTTAAAAAACATTTAATGATAACATTTCGAATGCGAATATTTCAGAAACGGTTAAGTTTAGGTATATGGTTTGTTATATGAATTATGCTCAGAATTTTACAAGAAATCAATTTTTTTACACGTAGAAAAAAGTATTTTTTAGTTTCTACATAACCACACTTTTTAATTTTTTGGGACACTTAAAATAAAAAAGTTAAAGGGGGGCGACATTATAGGGGATCACCCTGTACAATTGTATTTTTTAAAAATATTAAGGTGTCGAAAGATACAATAACTTATTTCAAATATACAAAGGGACGTTTTAAATAAAACATACGAAATCCTAACCTCCGTGAACCTCTAATATTTAAAATGTATGATTTCTTAAAATTCTTGCATTAGTGCAGAACCACTTATGATATTTTATTACTAGACCTGGTGGTTTCCCAAAAACCCCATTCTAGACTAACAGTGAAACAACCAAAAATAAAAAAATAATCATTTTCACTTGGGGGACATCTCAATATATTCACCCTAATAAGAAATAGAGACTGTGTAATTATTAAGTTTATTCATTTTAAATTTGAACATTGAGGTGTTTAAAAATAGATATCAAATTAAAATAATTTAAAATTATTTTTGATTTTATTAAATATAAATAAAAATAACACAGTACAACACGATTTTCCTTCCATGAAAAATTTTAACAGAATTTAAAAATAAAGGTTAAAAAAACGTACCCATGTCTCACCGTTTCACGAAATCACGTAATTTAATTTTTTTACACAGCCATTCTTATTATTTTAACCTAAACTGATTTTTAATTCTCTATTTTGATATAAATCATTTTTTGTTCATCAAATATTTTATTTTTTTACATAATACAAAAATTATACTTAAAGAAAATTATAATTTTATTTTTTTAAGCAACAAAATTTTTCTTCTTTTAATTTTTGATTTTTTAAATAAAACAACAGAGTATCTTATATTAAATACATATATGTTGGAAACAAATCTTGATCTTTAGTTTGACGATTATACGAGCCCTAACCACATAATGTTCGGACACTTCATAATTTATATAGAAATTTTTTTCGTGAATACTATCTCAAAATTATTAGAAGTTATGAAAAATTCAGCTTATTTTGGCATATACCCCTCGAAGCGATTTTTATTTTTAAAAAGTTTACCTTTTATTTTTAGCTTTTAAAAAAAGGCTAACTTTTTAACTTTTTTTTGCATGAGTAAAAAAAGTTATAAATGGGCCCATTAAAAAGAACATAAAATATTATACAAACCCTGAAAATTTGGTAAAAATTGTATAAATAATAAGAAAGTTATAGCGATATATATATCTGCAAAATCTCCCGTTTCCTAAGAAAATTGCAAAAACTCTTTAAAAATAGCATTTTTAAATTACTTATACTTTTTTATAACTTATTTATTTTTTACCAAATTTTCAGGGTTTGTGTAATATTTTATGCTCTTTTTAATGGGTCTATTTATAACTTTTTTTACTCATACAAAAAAAAGTTAAAAAGTTAGCCTTTTTTTAAAAGCTAAAAATAAAAGGTAAACTTTTTAAAAATAAAAATCGCTTCGAGGGGTATATGCCAAAATAAGCTGAATTTTTCCTAACTTCTAATAATTTTGAGATAGTATTCACGAAAAAAATTTCTGTATAAATTATGAAGTGTCCGAACATTATGTGGTTAGGGCTCGTACATTGCTTTCAAATCTATAGTGGTATCACAACCTAAAAACACCGCTTGATATACAGGGTGTTTCACATTCGTGGTCCATTGGAAGTTTCTGGAGAACGGAAAAAATATAGATTTGAAATTTAAAAGCGTTTATAATCCATTAAGTCCATTTTTTTAAATAATTTGAACAAAATTCAACTTCCGGTTTGACCGGAAGTCACATCAACTTTGTTATTTCAAATAGAACACCCCATATATTTTTACATTTTAAAATTCTGCATAAAATTCCAAGTAAAATTACTATACAATGTCCTATACCTAAAGTGAATAGTTTTCTAGATGTTTGCTATTAGGTTTACGGATATGGGGGTAAAATGTTTGGAATCTTAAAACATTGTTTAAAAATTCCATGTCAATTATTTAAAATTTTTCAACAAATTACCCGAGAAACCCCATAACTATTATATACAGTGTAGTCGAGTAAAGTACGGTGCGAAACAGTGCTACTATTTGGGTGACTATAGTATGTATACATAACGGTACAGGTGAAATCAGGGTACCTGTTCTCCGAGGGGTTAATAGAAACATTAAATAATTCCTCAAAAGGCAATCTCTCAACGGTGAACATAGAAGTGAGGTTCGTGCGGACACGAAGTAATAAAGTGACAGGGGACAGGTCAAGGAATCACCTATTTAAAGAAAAAAAACAAGTCTAACAAAGAGCGAAAGGGATCATCACCATCACCATCACCATCACCAGCCGACTCTGATAAGTATTATTGCATGACCTAATACGCAAATCTGTAAAAAAAAAACTGGCAACAATTAACCATTGCCGAAAACAGCGTAAGTGTGCGAAAAGGAATCAAGCAGGAACGTCGCAATATTATATTATTGTATTATATATATTGTATAATATACGCGACTTGCAACTCAGCCACAAGGCAAAGCTTGAAGGAAGGTAAATAAACAAAGCGCCCACGCAATAACATAACGTAAATAAACCATCTATTGAAGCATACGTTACACGCCTGATACCGGGGCCGTTTCAGATTTTAATGCGAAGCACCACAGGGCCGGCTATTTATTTTGTATTAAGCTAGTTTTAAATTAAATTTGAAAAAAAGTATTTGTCACCATTAACATTGCCCGTATTCATTTTATTAAACATAACATTTATTTTACTTGAAATGTTAAAATAACTTTAAAATATGATTATGTTAAGATCATATTTTACTCTTTAAACAATTGTTTTGTTTTAATTACTATCATTGCAAAATTGTATTAAAAAGTGTTAAAAATTCTTACACGGGCAATGTTAATGGTGATAGGTATCGTTAAAGTGTTTATTGGGATATCTTTAAAACCTATGAAGGGCACGCGGCGTGGGGCAATAAGTCTGTCAACAGCAAATGCGTAAGGCGGTCCCAATCGAGACCGAAAATAAACACTGGACTGACAGAGTAAACTAACATTGATCACATAATTCTAACACATTAAAAAAAAAGGGCCTAATAGCCAAACTCGAGATTCGTAAACATTAGACAACAGAATAATCGCGCTTGTGATTTGTTTGACTAGTGAATAAATGCAATGCTTTGGAATTTGATAAACAAAGACGGAACTCTGCCACAAAACGTGCTTGGGACAAAAATTATTAAAAACAACTGACACACTTTACCAAGGGCAGGAACTATCTGACCAGGACACGGACAATGACAATAACGAACAAGACAAAGACCTCGACTAGGAGACTACACCCCTGCAGCGAAATAACAACTCCCCAACTCCAAATAGTAATCCCAAATGTTTGGAGTAATACTAATCGACTGGTCTAGGGGGATTCCGCGTCGTACTTAGTTTTAAGTCGGCGTAATTGTCCCCCAAAAACCAACTCCCTCCCGTCCCTCATCCATACCCCACCGAGCGTATAGCATAGGCTCGGCGAACCCGGGAATGGCTATTATAACTATTCGCCTCTCGCTCTCGAGCCCCAAATAGGGGACAGTACGGAACGCAATGGACATTCGCACCCAGCAAACACGGGTGAAGCCGTGCAGTTGCTGGGGAAGAACAAAAATCGGCGTAAGTAAACATAGGCCTGTACGGGGTTCGAGAGTCAAGAGGAAATGGGGCTGGTTATACGTCTCTTATACTCATACTCATTACCCGAGAAACCCCAGGGCAAATTGGACTAACTTAAAACTGTTTTATTTTAAATTTAACACCCGGTATGTTAAGAAATTGACATGGAATCTTTTAAACAATGTTTTAAGATTCCAAATATTACACCCCTATTTCTGCAAAACCTAATAGCAAGAAAGTTATAGACTATTTTTGATTGACGCGCATTTGTCATATTTTACTATTTACTCTAGGTATAGGACATAGTACAGTAATTTTACTCAAAATTTTATGCAGAATTTAAAAATGTAAAAATATATGGGGTGTTCCAGTTAAAATAACAAAGTTGATGTCACTTCCGGCCAAGCCGGAAGTGGCATTTTGTTTAAAATATTTTAGAAAAATAGGCTTAATTGGGTTATAAACGCTTTAAAAATTTCAAATCGATATCTTTTGCCGTTCCTCAGAAACTCTCAATGGACCACGAACGTGAAACATCCCGTATTTCGTAAATGTGCAACACTCTGTATATAAAATTAAAATAATTTATAAATTATCTTATAATATACTGTCTAGCTGTTATTAAATCTGTTATATTATGTGCCGAATACCTTGGATAACATTTTATTGGATCGCACTTTAAAAAAAGACGTGATCTGAAAAAACGCCGAGACACGGGTATCATTTTTTTAAGTCTATTTTCAAAATCTATAGAAATTTTTAATGGGAGCGAAAAAATCAAATTTTGTCGTACTGTGTAATAGTATATTATTGTACGAGAGATAATGCAGGCTATTATTCACGAGGATGATCAACTCCAATTAAGATTTAATTGATTTTCAAAAATAAATAAATTAAGTTTAACATCTGTTAGATGGTTTACTTCACTTTCTACCAATTTTAGTAGTATATTCTGTAACAAGTTTGGAATAATTTTACTTTAGATAGTTGGTATCACAGTCATTGGTTTGACAGTTAATGTCAAAATCGATTCGCCATGCCGTCCTTAATTTACTTATTTACAATAAGCAGCTGTTAATGTTAAAGAAGAAAAAAAGGATTTTCTTTGGTGTTAGACAAAATTGATAATAAATAATAGCTATTTTCCCGGAGCTAACCCGAACTAATTCCGGACATCCAAGACAGGCGCTTTTTAAAATTTGGGGTTAAAATTGTAAAGTGCGCATGACAAATATTAAAATGCGCATGCCTAGGATGTCCGAACTAGTTTGGGATTAGCACCGCGAAAACACCTATTACAACCAATATGTAAAATATTATGCTGTTTAAAGTATAGTCAACCTATAAAATCAAAATTTTTACGTGGGATAAAGTATCTCATTACAGCACCGAGAGCGGTGTTATAATAAAGTCATTATGAACGCGAAACTATGGCACGCCGTTTTAACATTTATTAAATATTTTTTTAATTTAAAATGTTATTGGTTTAAAATTTTCCCAACTAAAAATTTTAGGTTTACATTTATAAATTTATAATATTTTCAACTATCATGTATTGAAAGACAAAATTTACTAACCAACATTTCACTTCTGTATTAAACAATATTATTTTCTATAAAATTATTGAGATTAATTTGGTAAAGTTATTTTTTTACTATTTAAAAATAGTAGCAAGCCATTTAAAATAAAAACACATAAAACATTTTCTACCAAAATAATTTAAAAAGTTAAATTTTTGTAAACTCACCACACTATTGATAATCAAAAAATATTTTAAATATAAAATTCAACTGTAAAAGTTTAAAAATATTAATTTATAAAAAATGGAATTTTAATATTTTATTCATCAAAACTATTGGTTTGAATTTGTAAAGAATCATTTAAATGATAGTCGATAAATTTTCAATAAAAAAATTTGAACATTACATTTAAGTGTTAGTTTAAAATTTTAAAGTGGTAATTTTTGCATTAAAAATTTATCGACTATCATTTAAATGACTTTTTGCAAATTTAAACCAATAACTTTTATTTTTAACAATTTTAAATTGATACATTTTTAAGACAAAATTATTAACTTTACATTTAAATGTAAGTCGATATTTTTTAAATTACAAAGTGTAAACGTAGCTTTAGTAGAAGGCACAGTGTTGCCAAATCGTGCTTGCTTCATAAATATTTGACGCGTTTTACAAATTATCGTAATGAAATGTTTTTTTATTACATAAATTTAATAATAGAACAACAACATTGTTGGTGCCTATTGTACTAAGTTAATTCGACAATTAAAAAACATCAACGGATTAAACTGGCTGCATCGTGGCTCCGATCCCAGACTCTTGTGCCTTCTACTAAAGCTACGTTTACACTTTGTAATTTAAAAATTATCGACTTCCATTTAAATGTAAAGTTATAAATTTTGTCTTAAAAATATATCACTTTAAAATTGTTAAAAATAAAAAAATTGGTTTAAATTTGTAAAGAGTCATTTAAATGATAGTCGATAAATTTTTAATCCAAAAATTACTACTTTAAAATTTAAAACTTACATTTAATGTAATGTGAGAATTTTTGTATTAAAAATGTATCAACTATCATTTAAATGAATCTTTAAAAATTTAAACCAATAATTTTGTAGAATAAAATATTACAACCTAAACTTTTAAAAATCAATATTTTTAAACATAAATTTTTACTGTTGCATTTTATATTTAAAATATTTTTTGACTATCAATTGTTTTGAGTTTAAAAAAATATAACTTTAATCTTTAAACTTTTATCTAATAAATTAATTGTTTGGCTTACACATTTTTCTAGATTTTTATTTGTTAAAATAAATACATCTTGGCGAAAATTTAATACAAATTCAACAAGACTTATTATACCTACTTCAAGGTGCATTAGACCAGGGTCGATAATTATAATTAATTAATTAATTAATTAATTATAATTTATATAATTAATTATAATTTTTGAAACCAAAAAAAAATAACAGTAGGATGAAACCCATTGGAAAAGGAGAATATAATAAAAATGAAAGGAAAAATAAATTACGGGCGATCTGACTTCGGGAAGTGGGAGGGGGGGGGTTTTAAGGGTAAAAAATGGTTTATCTCGATTTCCGGCAAAACTACAAGTCCTATGGAAAAAAATTAAATGGCAAAGTTGTAGGTAATAAAAGGATCTACAACTTTTGTAATTACAATTATTTACATAACCTCAAAATTTATGTGAAAGATTCAAAAAACCAAGTTTTTGGTTTTTTATTTTTCTTTTTCAACAAAAATTTTTTTTCCACGAAATTTGGTGAAAACTTACCTTTTTATGTCCCAAATACACTGTAATTTATTGGATTTGAAATATTTATTATTTCGCCTTATTTTGACTTAATATCAAAAAAGCACCCTAATTTTCAATCGAAAATTCTCGCGTCAAAATATCAGCTTTTTTCAAAAAGTCGGTGTGCTTTTTGTTCGTTGAAATCTCTACTTTCTGATGGTGTAAAAAAAATATACATAACTGGGGTAAATGTTCTCAGAAAATGCAAAAAATATTATAATGAATAACGAAAAAAACTCGAATTCGAAAATTTATTTTAATCATTATGTACAATTTCATCAAAAAAATGTGATTGTTGCAATTTTTTTTAGTTAAAAAGTTTATTTATTAAATTCTAATAACATTTATGTCAGAAAATCTTATAAAATATAAAAATACATGTAAATCATACTATTGAATTTAGATACTTCATTCTGATTATGTTATTCATTATAATATTTTTTGTATTTTCTGAGAACATTTACCATAGTAATGTATATTTTTTTTTACACCATCAGAAAGTAGAGAGTTCATCAAACAAAAAGCTGATATTTTGACGCGAGAATTTTCGATTGATTGATTGATTTTTTGATATTAAGTCGAAATAATGCGAAATAATAAATATTTCAAATCAAATAAATTACAGTGTATTTGGGACATAAAAAGGTAAGTTTTCACCAAATTTCGTGAAAAAAAATTTTTTTTTGAAAAAGAAAAATAAAAAACCAAAAACTTGGTTTTTTGAATTTTTCACATAAATTTTGAAATTTTTCCAATGGGTTTCATCCTACTGTTATTTTTTTTCTCTTTTTACCATTTTTAAAGGCTTCTGCACTGGTCTACATGGATAATAAAATACTTACAGTTGCAACATAGATAGTTTCCATTGATCCCATTGGATTATAGCCTGCAACCACAGACATTCGTTTCAAAGCAGAGGAGAAATGGTGGCGAGCGAAGATTTTAAACCCCGGCGACTTTCCCTTTTTAGGAACAACTGCATCAGCTTTCGTTACATTCCATTCAATAGCGTTTATCGTCGCTTTTTCCAGCGGATCACCGACAAGTCCATCGTCCAGTTGGGTGAGCGAGTGGCAAGTTGCCATCACTTGAACCGATTCCATAGGAACATCGGCGATAGCAGTGACCCTGGAGTCTTTTTCAGCCAGAGCGACTCCTTCCACTATCAGGTTGTCACTCGTTAAGGTGCCTGTTTTGTCGAAACAGCAGATGTCCACTTTGCCAGCAAACGGAATCCTAAAGGGTTCCGTGCAAAACACCCCCAACTTGAATAAGGCAATCAAAGAAGTATTCACCGCTAAAGATAATTCAATTGGTAGTTCAGGCGGGATTACCGACGTTAATATTAAAGTACATTCCAAGAAAAGTTTGTATCTGTTTCTGTCTGGATCTTCGCATCCTTTTTGCCATACATACCAAGCGGCTGCAACTGCAAATATCAGCAAGAACGATATAAAGCCGAATGTCTCTTTATTATTAGCTGTAACTCTTTTAACTCCAAACAAAATTGTTCTCAACAATTTACCCTGTGACGTGTTAAAACCTGTTCTTAAAACATAGGCCACACAGCCATTATCGTTGGGTCTAAGCCCTGAAGTTGTTTTAGGGGGAGCCGAATGTTGAACAACCTTTGTTCCTCCAAAGAGTACATATAATTTACCATCCATCTCGGGGTCTAATATTTTCTTTTGGTTTGCACCCTCAACAGCCTCTTTCATTTGAGGAACTGATTCACCTGTCAACATACTTTCATCCACAACACAGGAACCTCTAATTAATAAGACGTCGCATGGCACTAAATTGTCTTTTTGTGATCTGGTTATTGATATGATATCCCCAGGGATAAGATCACTGGTAAGAATCAACCTCCATTTCCTATTTCTATACACCAAAATGTTATATGGCTTATTTCCCATTTTTCTAATTTCCGACATATTTTTCAGTTGTTGTTTAACTAAAGTGCATTCAAATAAAACCAACATCACCAGTGTAAAAATAGAATAATACCAGTATTTGTCCAAACACCAAAGGCTCACACAAAACACTTGAAAGACAAAAAATGGGGCAGTGGCTCTTTCTTTAAATAATTCCATGAATTCTGGCACAACCATATCCAGTTCATTTTTGCCGTAAAAACTTTCTGCATTAACAACATCTTGTTCTTCCTGGTAACCCTTCCAAGAACAGTATTCTCCAAAGGAATTATTAATTGGATATTCCAAACCTCTGAACGTTTTCTTGTCTGAATCCCAAAAGTATTTCGACTTTTGAAAGGTAAACCAAACAGAAGTTTCTTTTTCACCCTAATAATTAAATTGTTTTGTTAGTATTACAGATGATTTAAGGCAAAATAGCAAACCTTCTTATGACATAACCGTACTAGTTCAGACCAACCGTTATTAGCTGTAGGTACAACTTTAACAGCTGTAGCTTTAAGAGGTTCTTTTTCCTACAATATTATAATTAAAATATATTCAAAAAACACTCTTTAACAATATAATTAACCTTATTGCACGTAAAAATACAGTTAATATGTACCGACCAATAACATGTGAGACAACACAGTATTTGAAAAAATGCTATAACTGCTAGTCCCACAAAACCTCCTTCGTAATGTTCGTTAAAGCCATAAACTCCAAGCCAAGCATAAAGCCAGCCAGTGTAAATCAACAGGAAAGGCAACACATACAAATGGAATACTGTCGGTTTTAAAGTGTACAAAGTTACTGACTGGACTAGATCGTCTAATTTAGGTGTCACGCTCATTGTTTCGTGTTCCCTTTCGTGGGCCTCAGTTTTTTTAGCGCACACTTATGTTAATATTCGCGACATATGATTTGGAATTTTTTTGACACAAGATGACACGTCTGTCAAAACGTGCCGGTCGGGCATGCGCATTCAAATCACAGTTACGAGGGGGGGTCGAAAATATATCTCGTTACTTTGGAACCATAATATACAGGATGTTTCTACTCAAAATTGACAACCTTATGGAGGTTGTTGTAATATATGAGATAAATGTATTGTTAGTTGCCTACAATGGTGACCAGGAATGAAGGCGAAGAAGACGAGCGCGCATCAGTATCGAAGAGCCCACCAAGTCAAGCACACGCGTCGAATCCGAAGTAAAATATGTAATAATATTTAAGCACAAATAAACGATAAAATCTATCCCAGATTTATTTAAACCAGTTTACAACAGTGGCGACGAGTATAAAAAGGAAGTAACGCGGGAAGAGTTCCAGAATTGTGAAACAAGAAAAATACAAGATGGCGTGTGGCGTGCAAAAGTTTTTTGAATTCAAAGAAAACGTGGATGACTGGCAGATCTATGCCGAGAGGTTGCAACAGCATTTTGTGGCGAATAATGTTACAGAAGAAAAAGTTAAGGTAGCTGTATTGCTGTCATCTATAAGCGCCAACACGTATTTGTTGCTGAAAAACCTATGTTATCCAGAGAAACCACAAGATAAAACATTTCAAGAGCTGTCGGACCTTCTGAAAACCCAATTTTCCACAGTTAAAAGTGTCTGGAAAGAAAGAATTGTATTTTACGATTTAAAACAAGGCAGTTTGTCAATTTCCGAATGGTACGCCAAGGTGAGAGGCGGCGCAACAAAATGCAATTTTGGAGGGGATCTGTCAAAAATTCTTAAGGACAAGTTTGTCACTGGTTTGGCACCGGGAAAGATTTTGGACAGAATCTGTGAGGAAGAGCCAACTGCAAGTTTGGAAGACCTGTACAAGTTGGCGTTAAAACGAGAAGAAATTTCCAGCACATCCACGACGGGGGAGGTGTTTGCAGTTTCAAAAAACGCGCCGCAGAACAAGACCGGCTACCGGAAGGGACGCTGTCAAAATCAAGTCAGCCATGCGTTTCAAGGAGATCAAAATCGAGGTTATGTTGATCAAAATAGAGGTTATGGTTGGAAAACTAAACAACAAGGTAGAAATGTTCCAAGTTGTCAACATTGTGGTTCTAAACATGCAAGTATGTGTCGATTTAAAAGTGTTGAGTGTAATAGTTGTGGTAAAATTGGCCACATTGCTAAGGTATGCAAGCAAAGTCAAAGAAAAGTAAACTTTGTAGAGAGGGAAAGTGATAGAAATGACAGTAGAGAAATTGTAGATTTATTTTTTTCTGAGAACAATTCATGTAAAGACTCAAATTTTAATGTAGTAGTAGAAATAAACAAGGTACCTGTCAAATTTTTGCTGGACAGTGGTGCTGCTATTTCAGCTATAAGCATAGAAACTTATACCACCTTTTTTTCAAATTTTAGGTTAGAAGTAAACAATGTAATTCTCAAAAGCTACAATGGAAATGTGTTTGAACCAGAAGGCTTCTTTGTGGCTCCAGTTACGTTTAGGAATATCTCAAAGGCAAGTGGGTTTTATGTTGTTCGTAATGGCTCGACAAATATTTTAGGTAGGGATTTTATGAAAAATTTTAATGTTAAATTAAGTTTTTTAAATTTTACTGACAAATCTGATGTAAATCAGATAATTTCAAAATTTCCCAACCTTTTTAAAGATGAATTAGGTAAATATAAGCATTCAAAGGTAAATTTAGAGCTTCTGGGAGATAGTAAACCAGTGTTTTGTCGATCAAGACCAGTTCCTTTGGCTTTTAGAGAATCTGTGGAGAAGGAATTGTCTTTATGGGAAAAGGAAGGTGTTATAACACAAATAGAGCATAGTGATTGGGCAACTCCTTTGGTGGTGGTAATAAAGAATGACCAAACTGTCCGGTTATGTGGAGATTATAAAGCTACTATAAACAAATTTTTAAGACCAGTAAATTACCCATTACCAAGAATTGAAGAAGTATTTACAAGGCTTAATAAGGCAAGGTTTTTTTCAAAAATTGATCTTCGTTCAGCTTATAATCAGATTGAGGTATCCGAGGACAGTGCAATGATTTTGGCTATAACAACACATAAAGGAATGTTTAAATTTAACAGAATGCCTTTTGGAATCAAAGTGGCAACTGGTATTTTTCAGAAAATTATGGAGTTAACATTGCAGGGAATAGACGGAGTGGTAAGTTTCTTGGACGACATTGTGGTTTCAGGCGAAACAAAAGAAGAACACAATTTGAACTTGGAGAAAGTGTTCAAGGCTCTGGAAAATGCAGGTTTTACCTTAAAGAAAAGCAAATGTAGTTTTTTTGAAGATACAGTGACATATTTGGGATTCAAAATAAGTAGAGATGGGTTGCAAAAAGTAGAGGAAAAAGTAAAAGCAATAGAAAAAGCAGAAAGACCAAAGAATATATCAGAGGTTAGAAGTTTTATTGGATTGGTAAATTATTATGCCAAGTTTATACCTCGCTTATCAGTAATTTTGCATCCAATATATAAATTACTAAAAAAGAGTAACTCTTTTCACTGGGACAAGGAGTGTGAAGAAAGCTTTAATGAAATAAAAAAGGTAATTAGCAGAGACATGGTATTAGTCCATTTTAATCCAAACTACCCAATAATAATAACCACTGACGCAAGTAGGAAAGGCGTTGGGGCAGTTTTAAGCCATATTATAGATGGGGAGGAAAAAATCGTGGCTTGTGCTTCGAGGACCCTTTTGCCAGCTGAAGCAAATTATTCAACAATCCAGATAGAAGCCCTGGCTATATACTTTGCTTTGAATAAATTTTACCAGTATTTGTATGGACATAAGTTCGTTTTAAGAACTGATCACAAACCACTTATTGCTATATTTGGGGAAAACAAGGGGATACCCCAAATGGCAGCAAATAGATTGCAACGCTGGGCAATTTTTTTGTCCATGTTTGACTATGAAATTCAATACATAAAGGGGAAGAACAACCCCATTGCTGACTTTTTATCAAGGAAACCATTACCAGCGAGCTCCAGCAGCTCAAAATCAGCAGAAGCTTTTATAAATTTTACTGAAAAGCAGGAGAAATGGCCAATAAATAATGAAGACATAAGGAAGGGAACAGAAAATGATGAGGTGTTGAAAAAGGTAATGAAGTATATGGAAGCTGGGAAATGGCCGGGAAAAGTCAGTGAAGAAATTAAACCGTTTTTTGTTAGAAGGGATGAGCTGTCACTAGAAAAAGGAATTATTGTATGGGGACATCGGTTAGTTATTCCAAAACAACTACGGAATAAGCTTTTGGAGGAGTTGCATGTATCACATTTTGGAATTGAGAGGGCAAAAGCAGTAGCTAGATCTCTAATGTATTGGCCTAAAATAAATGATGATATCGAAAAACAAATTAAATCTTGTGAATTTTGTTTAGAAGCAAAGCAAGACCCCCCAAGGAATTCATCGACTCCATGGCCTAAGACTACCCGACCTTTGGAAAGGATCCATTTAGATTTTTTTGGACCGGTAGTTGCGAAAATGTTCCTAGTCCTAGTGGACTCTTATTCAAAATGGATTGAAGTTGTACAAATGAACAGTACCACTGCTGAAAGTACAGAAGATGTGTTAAGGGAAGTATTTTCAAGGTTTGGAATTCCTGAAACTATAGTCACAGACAATGGACCTCAATTTGTATCCAGCACATTAAGTTCATTTTTTCAGAAGAATGGAATAGAACATATCACTTCACCTCCATACCACCCGAAAAGCAACGGTTCAGCAGAAAATATAGTAAAAACTATGAAGAATAAGCTAAAATCAGCCCTGCTCGACCCCCAAAATGAAAATACGAAAATAAAAACCGTACTGGATAGAATTTTGTTTACATATAGAACAACACCCCACTCAATAACTAAAGAAACACCATTTAAACTAATGTTCAACAGAGATCCTAGAACAAGACTAAGGCAAATCAAAGAAGAAAGTAGTAAGACCAAGAGAAGTGAAACTACTACAAATTCGAAGGATGGTAGAAGCAGATATTTTAAGGTGGGAGAGGAAGTGTATGTAAGAGATTACAAAAACAACAAGAAGTTATGGATTAAGGCTACAATACAAAAACAATTGGGAAGAGCAGTATTTCTGTGTAAAACCAGTCATAACAACATAGTTAAGCGGCATACGGATCAAATCCAAAAGCACTTGATTCTTTTAAAGCCACAGGAACGCTCTGGGTCGAATGCTAGTAGTAATTTTAACAGGCAACTGCCAAATCATGACTATTTTATAAACCTACCAAGAGCCAGGGCGAACAATGTAAAACTTACTCCGGTTTTAACAAATAATAAAAGTAATATTGAAGCTGGTGGTTCAGACCACATCGATATTGTTTTATCCAATAATAGTTTTAACAGCAATGTAACGGCTGAAGTTACCAACAATGGTAACAGCTTCCCCAGTAAAGACTTGACAAGTACAAGGTATGGACGAAAAACAATCAAACCTTCATGGTTAAGTGACTTTACAACATAAATATGTTTGGTTAAATTTGCAGACCAAAATATCATGTTAACATTAACTGTTGTTGTAAGGTTATTCGTCAGGTGTCTTGCCAAGTAAATATTACAGAATGATCAACGTAAAATTGTAATGTAAATTGTAATGTAATTTGTAAGGTAAATTATACGTTTAAGCTAAGTAGAAGGGTGTAATATATGAGATAAATGTATTGTTAGTTGCCTACAATGGTGACCAGGAATGAAGGCGAAGAAGACGAGCGCGCATCAGTATCGAAGAGCCCACCAAGTCAAGCACACGCGTCGAATCCGAAGTAAAATATGTAATAATATTTAAGCACAAATAAACGATAAAATCTATCCCAGATTTATTTAAACCAGTTTACAACAGTTGTAAATCTCATCTGTTCAGTCCACCCAACTTATCCCTTATCTATGGTTCAGTCCAACTGTAGGGGCTCTTTTTAAAAGTTTTTAAGTGTTTCTACCGACAATTGAGGTTTTTCATTTGTATGTTCA